AACAACCTCGTTAATTATTCAAACATAGGACTGTACAATAAAACATGTAGCTCATACAACTTAATTTATAACGAATTTAAAATAGATTATTTATATTTTTATAATACTTTTTTGGCGGCGACGTGCGTGGAAGATGGAATTGACTAGGATTTTGATATAAGAAGGTTCCACGCCCGTCAGCCAATTTTCACTTTTGTGGTTGACATTAAGGAGAGCATGTACTCACGGCTCGATTCAAAAGTTTATTTATATAAAGGTTACAGGAGTAACTGCTTAGGTAAATACAATACGACGCGCGGAGTTTACGGGACGCGGCACTTGCTTCAGACGGCAGGGAAAGAATGATCGGCCCGAGCAAGAGGGGGGGGGGGGGGGGGGTAGATCAACTGTCAGTAAGCATGTTGTAAATCACCATCTTTTCATTATCTAGAGGCCCATTTATCACTTTCTATCACCATCAGTTCCTGCAGTCCTTTCTCAGAAAGTTTCTGACTGGTCGCTATCAAAACGATGTCATCTGCATAAGGTAAGTTGTTTATGTTATGCCCACCCACTGCAATTCCTGGCATATCCATGATCATCATCATTCTGTAACACTCACGTCGTTGGGTCACCAGTTTCTGTTGACTGTCTGATCAGCTCTCTCCACCGTTGGTGGTCAGTAGCGATGGACTTCATGTCTGAGGCCTGTCCAGCCAGTCGGGTTCTGTAACCAGGTCTTTCTTGGTCTGCATTTTCTCATCTTTCCCTCTACTGAGCCCTGCAGTATTGTTTTCGAGAGGCTGTTAGACCTTATTAGATGACAATACCATTGCATTTTTCGCCTTTTCACTGTAAGAGGTTCTTAGTTGCCAATGTGCTGTAGAATTTTATGGCGAACCTCTTCGTTTGTAATGTGGTCTCTGTATAATATGCCAAGATTTTTTTCTGAAACATCGCATTTCTAATGCTTGTATCTTTCTTTCAAGTTCAGCTGTTCATGACAGATCTCATTTTATATCAACTGGCCCCACTTCTTCGTCGTTCAAAGATCTTGTTACCAGCCAAACAACGAATGATCAACAGCATTTTCATCCCTACGTTATGTTATCAGTGCCAAACGTGGACAATGAACAAATCACATATGCAAAAAATAACTACGTGTGAAATGCGATGTCTCCGAAGAGTCACCAACAATACACGAAGAGACAGAGTCACAAACGTCAGCATTAGAGACAAAGTTGGAACAAGATCATGCATGAAACATATTGAAAGACAGAGAAAGAAGTGGTTTAGTCTTTTAGTAAGAATGTTACCGGATCAGATTGCCTATAAGGCCTTTTACAATAGAACATCCGGAAGAAAGACCAGAGGAAGAAACAGGACAAATTGATATATGGAGTAGCTGCATTCTGCCAGAAGATCCAGAAAACTGTCACACAAATCACGCGAGAGGCACAAACAAATATTTTAAACCACGACACTGGGCTGCAACCAGGTAAAAGTGAAGAAGACAATATATATATATATATATATTGCGGCACACCTACCCTTATGGCGGTTTGAATACTTGGGGGGGGGGGGGGCAGTGCACATTAAATGTTCATTTGTATTTAATGAGATGAATGAAACTGTTTAGATGAATGTGTCATTGTTTCTTTTATGTATTTAGGAAGTTTAGTTTATTTAACCCTCAAATCATTTGACTCAGAAATTGTGCTCTTGTGCCTGTTTTTTAATGTAAGCGTACGTTGAGAATGCCCTGCATCCCTGCCAAAATTAATAGCATTGTCTTCTGAATACACCTGCATCCAGAACCCTTTTTGGCTTCCTTCGGGGTGTTTCTGTTTAAAGAATTAGCTCATCTCAAGCAGATTTAGAATTTTTTTTTATTATTTGTCACGGCACCCCTGTCATACGCTTGCGGCATCCATGGGTCTAGAGAGTTGGTCGTCAATAATACAATCCAGACCAGACCGACCAGACCATGTTATTGAACCGGAAGTAAATATTGACTGTTGATGTTTTCGCCAAACCCAGGTTCTCAGTTCGTTTAGTTTAGTCGTTGGTGTTAAGTTTTTTTAGTTGACTCATTTGAAACTTTCTTCGCGATTACCGCTGCGCAAGTTATTAAATAACGGTTACAAATATTCTACAACAAAACCAAGGTAAATTGTAGAAGGTGTCCGGTATAATGACATAGTATAGTAACGCTGACTATAGTCAGTCAGTCAGTGACTCAGTAAGTCAGTTGGCTCTCCTCCGAACTTCTACCCCGGCATTTCATTATGGCCTTACGGGGCTCAGTTCTATTAAAAATATGCCGGCTCCGTATAACGAAACAAATGCCCTAACAGGGTCTCAGCGATTTATTCCTTGCGGACCTGTTTCTGTGACTATGCCTCACCGCCGACCGTATCTCCCGCGCCGCTAAGCGCGTAGTGGCGGGGATAGGAGCTAAACTAGATGGCTGGGACTCACGAGCAGCAGCTACCACATCTCCTGCAACTTCCTCCAATTAGTTTGCTCGTGAGTCCCAGGCACCTAGTTTAGCCCCCCCATCCAAAAAGTTTGAGGACAACAATGACGCTAATCTGCGTCGGCGCACGTGGTCTCCCCGCCATGTGGCTTTTATCGTCAGTAATGTCGCGTATCAAAATTGTCAATGGTTGCTAGTATCATCTGCAGAAACGCTCGAAAGTGTCAACGGTCGCTATTATCATCTGCAGTGTTGCGTCTCTTGAAATTGTCAGGTAATCCTAGTTTTTCCGCGATTTGTTAATCACTGGAAGTTCGCATATTTTTAATAGGACTGAGCCCCGTAAGGATATTTGTTCTGCCGCCATAATGCCGGGGTAGAAGTTCGGAGGAGAGCCCACGTTTTTCTATCCTCCGAATAGAATAACGGGCACAAAAGATGGCGGCCGCAAAATATCCTTACGAACCTCAGTCACGTGTCAATTGCGCACTTCCGGCGACTTAATTTGCGGTTTTCCGGTGACTACCGCCACCGCCAAAAGTCCCCCACGCGGCGTGGATTAGGGCTAAACTAGATGGCTAGGACTCACGAGCAAAGCTGCAGGAGATGTGGAAGCTGCTGCTCGTGACTCCTAGCCATCTAGTTTAGCCCCAATCCACGCCGTGTGGGAGAATCGCACCGGTGGCGGTAGTTGCCGGAAAACCGCAAATTAAGTCGGAGTGTAACTGCATGAGGAGAGGCGAGGAATCATCAGTCTGCATACAAACAATCCAGATTGTGAAAAGAATATGCACAAAAACATTCAGGTTCTGGAAATAGACCAAAGTCACGAAGTGGATAAGTAAACATAATTTTTCGCCATGGAACATGGAGAAGAAAGAAGAGAGCTGCATGTAATGAGAGTTCAGTAGTTAGTTGCATGTCTTTTTCAGATTGCTGCAGAACCAACAATCATAAGCATTTTTTTGTTGTTTATGAATTCATCAAGCAGTTTGAGTACATTTATAATTTATTAGTTTGTAGTCCTTGAGCACATATTGAATGTGTGATATACAGTCAGACAGTAACAGTTACCGGTGCTTACAGAATTGGAACTCTTCATTCCTTTGCTGCTGAAGATGGGGACAGAGGGTGTCCCGAGTGCTATGATGTCGATTCTTAATCCAGCATTCAGCTAAATGTTGTTTGGCTCTCAGTACGACCGTTGACACCAGCGCAAGGTGTGTGCTAGCTATGAAATCACAAGCAGGTGGGACTGAACATGGCACCATGGTATTACAAAGTGCGTTCACAGAACCTAAGGCAAAGACAGCGAGCGACATATCCTATGATTTCGGGTTTTCTACAAGAATTTTCACCAGAATATACGGAGAAGAGTTGAATGAAATTGATTTGATGGCTTTACAAGACAGGATGGGATAAAAAATAATCTTATGTAGAAAATAGGTAGCTGCTGTGCTGTAGAGGCTATATGCTTGCCTGCGGATCTAAAGGTCATGGATCAAATCTGAACAGAGCTAGACTTTTAAAAATAATTGATATTGGCTCCCAGGTTGGCACAGCCTTAAATTGGTACCAGGTAAAGTCTGGAAGTAAAGATGGTTTGCTTTACTTTTCCATTTTTTTGGGGTCTTCCTTTATTTCTATGCCCCTGTGGGTTCCAGTGCAAAGATATTCTAGTTATATTGTTCTTAGGTTTTATCAACATTTTTCCTGTCTAATGCCAGCATTTTTTCTTCACCTTTTAGTCCACTGGAACTTGTGTTAGTTCTCCCTCAAAGTTCAACATTAGTGATTTTAGTAGTTTATTTTTAGTAATCCTAGTTTTCTAGGTTCCGGCTAGTGTATTATTCCTTCTAATGCTTTATATATCCTCATATATTTAAAAAAAAAAAAATTAAAAATGTAGGTAAATATTTACATTTGTAAAATGGTTGTTTTTGTTAAGGATTTTTTCCTACAGTTTCATGATTGTTTTTTTAGTTTTAACATTTGCAGGGTGACGTGATTAAAACTTTTTTTAAGTAGATCTTTGTTATGTTGACAAGATTATGATGATCATCATCATCATCCTGCTAAGCTGTTTATACAGGACAGGGCTCATAGACATTTCCTCTACTCCATTTTGTCCAGTTCTAGAACTTTTGGTTTCTTTTATTAACATTTGCTGTAAAGGACAGCCTTGTTTCCTCAGTTCATATTTCCCACCTTGGTCTCTGTTATGTGATTTTCTGCCATGCCTCAGAAATATCGCTTTCTTTTTTTTTATCTTATAGCTGTTAATACCAGTGGTTGTCCAGACATTTCTCCCATCTGTCTTTAGTTCATCTGATTTAATGTTCGCCAGTTTTCGGAGGCATATGTTTTCAAATGCATTTAACTTTTGCTCCGTGTCTTTAGAAGGTTCTCCAGCTTTTACTGGCATATATTAGTTAGAATTGAAATATGGAACTTGTTTGTTTTTTAAACTGTATAAGTTTGAGTTGCAGTGAAGTGTCTTCAGAAATATAACATTTTCATTATGACCTCTGTTTTGCAGAACATGTCACGATTTGAGCTTTGCAAGTTCACTCCAACACCAGATCCAGAGTTGATCTGTGGAATTTGCATGAATGTTCTAGACACCCCTGACGAGACTCCCTGTCGCCATGTGTTCTGTCATGACTGTATTTTGACAGCTATAAGAGAAAATCAGAAGTGTCCTGTTTGCAGAGCACCATGTAGAGAAGGGCAGACCAAGGAGGTGTTACCACTAGTACAAAATCTGATCAACAAATTAACCATGAGATGTGACTACTTTGACAATGGATGTACAGACTTAATCCTAAAAGAGTGTAAGAGAAAACTGCAATATATGTTTTTTAAAATTAAGAATTGACACCATAGCACCCGCGACAACAAGAGACGGAGCTCCGTCACCATCTTCAGCAGCAAGCGAAGTGTTCCAATTCTGATGGTACCCGTAACTGTCTGATTGTACATTTGTCTCACCTCTCCCATAAGTGTCATTCGTCGGCCAGATTCCTTGGTAACTCCCCGAATTGCTATTCTCTACAGACAGTAATAATCTATCTGTGCCTCCTCACTGTGCACTCGCTTCCAAAGGGCCCTTACAACATCTAGCTTGTCATACATCAATTCCCCACCAGTATATGTTGAAAGTAACAGACAGTCTCCAGTAGACACTTTCTTTAGAAATAATACACGTTTACATGCCTAAGAGTTCCCTGTTTGTGTCCCAGAACCTCATTTGGGAAGGGGGTGAATCGGTAATCAGTATCTGCAAAACAAAAATCACAAGTTTGGGTTGTTCATACACTTTTGGACTGCATTCCTGTTTCAGAACCTTAGTGTTGCATGTGCATCTGTTTGACAGATCTGGCTCATTTGTGTACAGATTGTTGGTTCCTTGCCTCTCAGGCAGATGCACTCCGACTTAAAAGGAAGCTTCCTGTTAGTTGTCTCTTATGACATGCTTTTGGGTAGGCAGTGGGTCTTTTCTAGTTTTTTTTATAAAAGGGCCCCGGAACCCACACGAAGAAGAAATGCTGTAGTATATATGGCATAAAAAAGGGATACGCGTATAATAGATCTACATTCAATAAATAAATTACCCTTTTAACTCCTTTGGACCATCAGGAATCTAGTGAGGGACCTATATTTTTAGATGTTTCACCAGATTATAATTGCACAGCGTTTAGTTTCCTCTAATCAGCTGTACACACATACCGTGATTTTAACTGACTCTCAGAGCATGTTTAGAAAGGTGAAGACAGGCATGCTTCATGCAGAGTGGCAAGCATCATTTCAAAGGTCCTGGGTAGTTGGCATCCTTTGGATATTTTCTCCAGGTCATGCTGATGTGTTGGGAAATAAGCAGGTAGAGAGACTGGCCAGTTCTGCACCACTTGGTGGTGAACTGATGTATGACAAGCTGGATGTTGTGAGGGCCCTTTGGGAGCGAGTGATCAGTGCCGAGGCACAGATAGGTCATTACGGTCTGAGGAATATGACGCTGCAGGAAGTTACGAGGGGATCTGGCCGACGCTCAACACTCAAGGGAAATGGGAATTACTGGTACCACCGGAATTAGAACTCTTCGCTAACTGTTGAAATGGAGACGAAGCGCTTATGGGAGTGTTCTGAGTGCTATGATGTTGTTTCCTAATTCAACATTTTAGTTTCCTCTAAAGCCAGCCTTATTCTGCTCTTTATCTGCCAGGAGAGCATAAACCCTCAACCAGCTCATGCCAGGCCATCCTGTCTCTTGCCATTACATTGGAATATCAAGAGTAATTGGCTCATACACAGTAGTTTTCTCATAAACTGGAAAACTTTATATTAGCCCATTCACCCTACATGAGCTGGTTTTGGTTGCATTTATGTGTTTTTTCTGACATTAGATCGTTGGGTATTGGCCACTTCATCTATACAACGGCTTTTATACTGGTTCCAACTGCACACTGTGTAGACATTATAGGTATGATTATGTTTACTAAAATAATTGGAGATATTATTTGGGTTACAAACAAAAAGGTCATTTGTTGTTGTTGTGGACTCATGGGGCAGCGAGACTAAAAGGGAATAATGATATTAATCTCTATCTTTAACCACCTCCCTTTAATTTTGTTGCCATTTTAAAATTGAGAAAGAAAAAAACCAAGGGAGGCCTTCATCTATTATTTTTGTTTTCAGTTTTCCTGGATCATGTCATATCATGCGAATTTGAGATGGTCCAGTGCCGATACAAAAGCTGCGGTCAGTCCTTGCTCAGAAGGGACTGCGAACAGCATGAGTTGAACACCTGTGCTTACAGAGACCGTGTGTGTGAGAACGGGTGTGGCCTAATGATTCCGCAAGAAAATGCCAGCTCGCATAAATGTGTAGAAGCTCTCGTGGAATTGGTGAAAGGTACGTGGTTTTACATATCAGTGATTTATAGTTGGATATAAGCATATGTTGCGTGTCCTTTACAGGACATTGCAGCCAACCTTAGCATGTTTTGGCTGTTTGTGGTCAATTTACTAGATGTTCAGTAGCCGATCATTTGTAATACTGAATGGTCGGCTCTTGATACCGCTGTCATAATCAGTAGAGTGTGGTCTGCAAAGATTTGTAGATTAAATAATAGTATAGACCAGTGATTCCCAAACTGTGTGCTGCGGCAACCTCTTTACAAGGGGGCTGCGAAATATCCAAAGATACATGAGTTTTTAAAAAAAATTATCTCTCACACACGAATAGTCATAATGTTAGTTAGGGTTAGGGCGCTGCAGAAAAATTTTAATTGGAAAAAGGCGCTGCAACTCGACAACTTTGGGAAACACTGGTATAGACTGTACAGTTAACAGATTTCAGTTTTGGATTACCAGTGTCCCAGTATAGATTGGGGGGGGGGGGGGGTGTAACAAGCATGTAAGTTGTACCATACTAGGACATCACACAAAGCGATAAACGCCCAGTGACACAAAGTGCTACCATGCGAATGAGGATCACCCATAAAGAGGTCCAAAAAACCCTGTTCAGCTGTTAGACCATATTTATGGCCCAGCTATATTTAGAGCCCCCGGCAAAAGCCAGAGTGGGGCTTCAAATAACGTTAAATTGCATGGGGATGGCGTAGTGATAACAAGCATGTCTTAAAAGACAACTAATAAAGGATTTGCTAAAATTTAAAGTGTTGGGGACTGATATGTGCGAATATCACCGCCTAGCTATAAACCGCAAGCAGCCAGCTACCCTTTTAAAGATGAACAAAGAGCTGCCAGTGTGTGATTGAGTTTCATTAGGACGGTAAAGAACAGTAACACTGTAATCTACAATGCATGTCATCAGAGGCAGCCAGGGAGGATGAGAATCATTTCCTCATCTAGTAAATAAGCTACGAAATCCAGCCATCCCCATAACAGGCGTACAAACCCATTTTTACACTTAGACATGAAGATCAGAACTTTTGAGTAGCAGAATTTATTTACAATATTGGTGCCGTGACCTCTTGGATCTGTTGGTACTTGGGTTGAGTCCTGCCGGCATATTGCTGCAGATTTCACCCACCTCCATTCATCTCTGCAATTGGCCATCCCTTCCCATTTGGTGACAGGGTTTATAGGTCTGTATGTTTGTTGTCTCATCACTGGCCCATTGGTTCAAAATCTGGGCTTTCATGCAAGAGACCAGAGTTCAGATCCTTAGTGCAGATTGTGGGGAAAATAAGAATACCTAAAAGCACGTCGTAAGAGTCGACTACTTGGGAGCTTCCTTCCAAGTCAGAGTGCATCTGCTCAAAAGGCAAGGAACCAACAGTCTGCATTCAAATGAGTCAGACCTGTAAAAAAAAAACCACCACAGAATTGTACTTAACGCTGGTGAGGTCCAGAGGCGGATGAACAACCAGAACTGTCCGTTAAAGAAACAAAGAAGAGGAGGAATAAATGAAGGAAAAGTATATTTAACTCTTAAATGCAATATTTTAGGGAACATTTATAGGCAAGCAAAAGGTAGACATCAATGTCAGGGAGAATAACACCAAATGATGACTGAACAGCAGGCTGAGAGAACATGTACATCCAGAAAGAGAGTCAAATAGTGATGTTGATGCATGTGCAGCTAGCTTTCATTATGGAGATGGCATCTGATAAATGCAGTGGTGCTCTGTCATTAAAATTCAAATTTGATAAATGTTCTGGCTACTCAGTAAGTGGAGCCAGGGTAGGGGTAGCTCAGTGGCTTCATACTTGCCTTAAGGTCTGTTGTTTAAATTCACACCAGGGTGAATCTCATGAATACCATATTGGAGGGAACATTTATAGGCAGGCGAGCAAGAGGTAGACGTCAGTGTAGTTGGGAGAATAACACCAAATGATGATTGAACAGCAGTCAGAGAATATGTACAGCCAGGAAGAGAGTCAAACAGTGTTGTTGGTCCATGTGCAGCAGCCAGCTTTCATTATGGAGTAAGCATCTGATAATTGCAGTGGTGCTCTGTCATTAAAATTCCTTTTTGATTTATGTCCTGACCGCTCAGTAGGTGGAGCCAGGGTAGCCCAGTGGGTAGATACTTGCCTGGCAGCCTCAAGGTCTATAGTTTAAATTCACACCAGGGTGAATCTTTTATAAGTGACCTTAGCTTCCAGGTTGTCCTGACCTAAAAATGGGGGCTAAGAAATCTCCTGGGCATTCTTCTTCTTCTTCCTAGTTTACACCGGTTAGCAGAAATTATGTTTATTCATCTACTTCTGGATTTTAGTTTTTGTTTCAGATCTAGAGTTTTACGTGCACATGCTTTTTACACACCTGGCTTATTTATATGCAGACTGTTGTTTCCTCACACCTCAGGCAGATGCACTTTAAAGGAAACACCCTAATTAGTCAACTTTTATGACATGTTTGTTTGGGGACAGTGGATCTTATCTCTCCCCCTGCCTCCCATAATGGGGCCCCAAAGTCCACTTGGGGATCCTAGCTATGAAAAAATTGAATGCATGATGTTGATCGCATAACCCATCAAGTACAGATTGGTCCGATTGGTTTTTGTTTGTCACAATATGCCATTGGTGTGAAATATTCCTTTTTTTTTTCAGTGTGTACGGAAGATAAACAGTGCAACAGGTATTTAAAATATTTCTTTTCTAAATCAATCGTTTGAGCTGTGCATAAATTATACTGTCATATTTCTTCTCTACTTAGACCTTAAAGAAAAGAACCAAGACCTACAGAAACGAATCAATGAACTTCAACATTCTTCTGAAAGTGTTGCACAGTCTGAAACATCAGTTGCAGTGCAAGCCAGCCAAAGAGATGATGACGACCAGAGTTTCCATTCTTTCTCCTATGGCAACATTTCGGACAGCTCATTTAATGACACCTCAAGCTTCTCCTCACATTCGTGGGACACCGACATTGTCATGGAAGCTGCCTGGAATGAAATTAATGATCTGGTAAATAATAGGGTAGACCGAAGAAGATCCAGTCGATTAGCAGCACTGCCTCATGGATCTGAAAGTGACCCCAGTGCAAGTAGGCATTTAGGCGAATCTGATCAGTCACATACCAGTGAGATCCTGGGGAATGACAACTCTAGTGATCGTGACAATGCTGATATGAGCTTAAACAATGGAGAAATTACTGTTGGAATTCAGACCGATCATCAGATGATTCAAGATATAAAAAATGGGCTTGATATTTGTCGGCAGGAGTTAAATGAGATGTTTGTATTAACACGAACAGGAATGGAAAGGGGTGAATCATCCTCTTTACTGGATTCTTCTTCAAATGGCGCATTATCAAAAACTAGTACAGAATGTCTTTCTGTTGGAACTAGAAAAAGAGAGCTTGAAGAAGACAGTGGATTTTGTGATGATAATACTGCCAGGACGCAAATAAAACAACCCAAACGGTCTAATCCTCAACCGATAAACACCCAGGCTGAAGAGATTGCCCTTATGTCCACAGGCCTGACTGCATTCAACACTTCTGATACATCACTTCTAGATGGTGCCAACGAAAGTCTAAATGGTATTACAGGGCCAATTTGTGATGCTGCTATTAATGTCAACAGTGGCTCGGGTTTGACTGTCGCTTACGAAGTTGCAGCAGCAGAACCACTAACTAACATAACGGAAGTGTCACAGATTGGTAATACGTTGACAGATCCTTCAGATAGTACAAATACAGTCAGTTCCAGTTGTAACCTCAGAGTCAGTGTTAATCCTTTGAGGCAAGGTCCCGTAACCCGGTCTCGAGGACAAGATGGGCATGTTGCATTGGAGGGTAATGCAATTCCATATGTAAAGGTTCCACCAACTTGTGCTTATTTACTTGACATGTATGCACAGGAAGATGATTCTAGTGAAGATGAATCATGGTCACCATCTGATGAGAATTGACTATAATGAATCATGTGGCTTCATATTCCATGCTGAGTTTATGCTTCATCATTATGTTGTATTTATTGTTCAAATAAATGTCATCATCGGCTCAATTATTAGATGAATGAAAAGGTATGATATGAATTTTGCAATGAGAAAATAGGCATTTTGGGTATATAAATTTTCACTTAGGAATTAAATTGCAGAGAAATAAAAGTGTCACCTTCGTTTTCTGTGTATATTTCGTGAAATCTTTGTTAACCTTGTCTGTACATTATCTTTGCCATTCTTGTTCTCACATCTGTCTTCATTATTCTCTAGGTTAGTTGTGTATCCTTTACAGGATGTTGCAGAACCAACCCTAACAGCCCCTGGCTGTTGTATGGTTTCTCTAGGCAAATTTTCGTCCAGTAGTTTGCCATTGCTTTCTGGATGGTCGGCTTTCTTGATACCACTGTCGTAACTAACGCAAGGCGCGTGGCCCGCTGCTGGAATCAAACCCACATTACGAAGCATTCGCATCGACTTAGCCACAGAGCCGACCATTATTCTCTACATAAGTTAATTTCTCACATTATTTTTTCATAAATTAGTTTCTCACAAAAGGATAAGCAGTCATACTGTTGCAACTTGGCAAATTTCACTTATAGTAACCTGAAGAATGAGGCTGTGAGATTACTGAAGAAAATCAATCAATCAGGAAATCACCAGCCCCAGCACAAGACGACTATTTTATTATGGACAGATCAGAACAAGCCAATATCCTCCGCCTCAGAACAGGGCACAACCGATTACGTAACCACATGTACACAAAATTCAAGATAGGCGTATAGCCATGTGCACCTGTGGAAAGGTGCCCCAGACAGCAGAGCATATACTCCAGGACTGCACCGAATTTGACACATTAAGGCAAACCTTTTGGCCAGAAAGAACAACAGTGGAACGTTAACTCTATGGACCACTGAATGAATTAACGACAACAGTGAAATTTATACAAGAGACAAAATTGCTGATATAGACAACTTATTTCAGGCGAAAGAAGAAGAACTGCAGAGAAGCTTGTCTTTTAAGACCAGGTCCAGAACACTTCAAAGAGTCTGTGGTTTATTTAATTGTGTGCCCTAAGAATATAATTATTTCTATAATATTAGTAATACAACACCAGTTGTTTTTAAATTATGTAAGCTTGCCTACTTTTCAAATTACAGTCCATAATAAAATTACACTATACTAATGATAAATTCTGCAATATTTATTTTACTGCCTGGTGGGAGTGCTCACACTTAAGGCCAAAACCGAACCGCCCCTAATGATCATTTAAGTAATTTGAACACTCTGACTTTGGGTTCCAATGGTGCCTTCAGGTCATGGTGGTTACCCACAGTTCCTAGTCTTGCGGTAGCTTCAGCTTGCTCACGTGGATCCGCTGACAGTGCTGAGTTACCTTGTCCAATGTGCCATCCTTAAAAAATTAAACTATGCTACACCTGCGGAGACATAAATTCAGTCTTTATTTCAACTTTACGTTCCTAATAAATCAGGCTTGGACATTAACCAGGAAACATAAGAGAAAACTGCCTGTGATATGACAGGTTTGAAGAAGGCTGCAAAAAAAAAGATATTTTATGAGAAATGAACAGATTATGAGAACTATTGTAACAACACCTATAATTCATGTGAGAAACAGAGACTCACCTAGTAAAAATCTATTCTCGATGCTGACATCGAGAGAGTACAACATAAAATTGGCAAGCAACAGAGGGAGACCTCGAAGAATATAAACTAGAGTCATTGACAGCTTAACACGGCACAGCATACCAAGCTCTCCCTAACTTGGATACCTGTCATCCGTAGAACTAATGGTTTAAAGCTAATATTTAAAAAAGAAGAAGAATGTTTAGCTCGCCATTGTGAGTCACATATATATTGGTTGACTGCTGTCTTCCTTGATTTCTACTTTTAACCCTTTGAGTCCCAAGGAATGCATCATACGTTCCCTCCTAGAAGCCCAATGAACGCTTGATGCGCTGTTTTTATGACCCTATTTACTACCCCCTGGGCTCAAAGAGTTAAGTGAGTAGTGACCAAGGGATCTGGTCAACATGCAACACCTAGAGGAAAGCCAAGATTAACAAACAGACTGCTGCTTGTACTATCACAACTAGAACTCTGCACTGGCTGCAGAAGATTGAAACTGAGCACTTATGGGAATGTTATGAGTGCTGTGATTTTGGTTCTCAAATCAACCTAACACTTACACCCTTCTCCCCCCTTAATTTTCCAGAGTGCTACCTGAAGATTTGACAACTTGAGCTTTAAAAATCTAAATGGCAGACTATCGCAGATTAACATGACACTTCCTTTTGGTACTTCCAAATGCTCCTGGGCAATTAAAGGGTGAACTGCACACTACAAAGAATTGGAATACAAATATGTCATCAAAGAAAACAGGACGTCTAGCCAGTTGAAGGAGAAGTAGGTTTTGATTTTGTTTTCTACACACTGAACTGAAACTGGACAAATGCACATGCCTATTTATGACCTAAACCCCATTGGCCCCCTTCCCAAAAGGTTTAGTTCACATTAGGGAAGTATTTACTTGTGAATAACGTAACTAATTTATATACAACAAAAAAAAAATGGCATATTTTGGGTAAACCGTTAGGAAGCAAGCAGATTGTTTCTGTGAATATCTTAATGATATTAACAATGAGGCTATTAAACCACTCTCCTTTCATTTTAATAGTTCTGACCACTCAAACAAAAGCCTGACTTACTGCTATAAAATCTTGCTGCAGTGCTCAAATCAGCCGTTACAACTTCTACCAACGTTCAGAAAAAAGGTTATTTTCACGGCTTTCAGACAGTGGAACGAGAGTCGCACAGTGTATTGCGTCCTCACCTGATGAATATTCATTTAGTTAAAAGACTTTTCTTTACCTTCAGGCGTATTGGGCATATTGCGATAGACATATTTTATTGACTAATCGGCACTTAATGGGTAATGTAATCAACATCACGCTAACTGCCTTAACTTCATTAGAATTCACTGCATACCTATTTAAGGCTGGGGTGAAGATAAAAAAAAAAGTCCGGTTCTGTTTGGATTTGAACTCACGACCTTTAGATCCACAGTCATGCACTCTCACTTGGTCTAGAAAATCGGAGATAACTCAAATGCTGCAGAAAATTTGTAGAATAACATGGACTAAGAAGAAAGCAACGAATTTTGAATTGGGTTGACATCACAGCACTTTAGACACTTCCATAAGTGCTCCGTCCCCATCTTCAGCAGCAAGCGAAGAGTTCCAATTCCAGTAGCACCAGTAACCGTTTGATTGTATATCCACGAAGAAAGCAATAAACATCGACACCCTACATGACCAAAACTGGTTCATAAAGAGCATCCTCTCCCGAAAGCTCTGGAATTTTGGACATATCAAGTGAGAGAACAGTCAGTGATAGAGTGTGCACTTTCTGGAAAACAAGCAGAGACCTACCTCCGCAAATGTGGATACAAGACATTGAAGATGCATTGACTATGAAAGCACACAGGGCTGTATAATTTGCTAGAAGAAGACAGCGATGTTCTATAAAGAACATGCTAACTGATATATAGTTGTTAAGAAGAAAAATATGCATTTCCAACAACTACAATCCACAATAGCATGTATTCATTCATATTCTGACACCTATCCATGGCACGACAAAAGGATGTCAAGAGTCTTTTCGCGTTGACTTTCTGTCCCTCTTTCCTTAGATCTTTCAAGTTGTCACATGTTCTAGTTTTCCTCTTCTAATAACAAAGCCGGAAAAAAAAATTTGACTGTCCTTCTGATGTTTGTGATACGTTGTCTTCAGTCCCACTCTGCTTTAAAAATATCTGGGTTGCTCATTCTGGAAGTGGCAGGCTAGCCGACACAGGGAAAACAGTTTTTTTTGGGGGTGGGGGACCTTCCCAAACCATACACAAGTTTCTAGGCAAAAGGAGGGGTGATCAAGGGGCTTAATCCTAGATTAAGAGCATGATAATTATGTGCAGAATGGTTCGACTTCGAAGGCAACACCCACAATAAATCACTGTTTACAACATGCTTGCTAGTGAACAGGTGGTCTACTCCCACCCCCCTCCCCCCATGTGACACACGAACCCAGACTGTAACAAACAGATGAATATCGGAAGTTCATTCCCTTATTTTCGGCAGCAAAAAGTAATCGAAAATACAAACATAGTGAACATTGAAAAAGACGTTCATTACGGTTTCTTCTCCTTTTCAGTTGCATGTTTATACAGCTGAAAACTAACCGTATGTGTTAAGAACTCGATATTTGAGTTGTAAAGCCAGTGAATTATTACTTAAAATAAAATTTAAACGTAAATATTCCCAGGTAATGTTTTGTGATTGTACCGGTCTGACTGACCGGTCACTGGTCACTTATGTGGAAGGAGAGGAGGTTTCTTTCTTTTCTCTCTTTAAATTAAACTAAGTGGATAAATTGTAATGTGATTTTCACATGACATTCATTCGTTAACCATTGTAATAATTTATAAACTCTAACTAGATTTGCCATCCTTGTGTACGAGTTTTACTTGCACTGCATTTCGCATATATAAATAGATTTATGTTCAATTTATAATATTTATTAACATAAATGATAATTATAGGCAGTGCCTTGCCAACTGCTGCAATCGATTATGACTAAACTACCCACACCCCCTTTTCTCTGCCTAGTGCTATTTTCATTCCAATGTTAATTTTTTTGGTCCTTACCGATACTACATTACACTACACCACAGTTCACTACACACACAACATTATTTTTCTTACAGTTATCACATTGCAATATTTTTCAGTATATGTCTATTCTCAAGATTAATAAAATTAAAAAAATGATGACCGTGTTTCACTGTTTCTCTGACTTGTCATCCATACAGTTCAATTGATTGTTTACTTAGACTTTCTAAGTAAATCTAAAGGGAACTTTACGTACACCTCCAAATTACATAGACGATTATTGTTTGGCAGTTCCTTTGCAGAACTTCAATCCTGCCAGAAAACTTTTTGGTTCCATGCAAGTTTTTCTGCTGCATGTGTTTTCATGCTTTGTGTATCTTTGGTATCTTGTGCCCTTAATCATGTTGGTCAGTCTCCACCTCTTCTTCTTCAGACTATGCCTTTTAATAATGTTCTTTCTAAACCACTTTAATTATACTCAGGCCCTCAAGAACCTGGTAACAGATAGCAAGACTAATGAAGTAAAGCTAAAGGAAGGCAGAGAGATAAATCCTGGATGGCTTGGGTATCTGGATGGAACAAGACATGAACAGTATGATTCCTGATACTGATTGTGTGAGAAAGTGAACTGCGACTGCCTGCGCTTATCAATGTGGCATATGAAGATGATACTTAGACCTACATTGGGAAAGAATCGCCATTTGCTTTTTGATTCAGCCTTCAGTTTAATTCTGCATCAGTTCTACTGCAATGGGCACATGCCATATCCAGTTTTCTCTGATTACAGTGATGCATTTTTATTGTTGAAACGTCATCAAACACTTCTTATATATAAGATTAGTGATGAATATCATCACATATCTCTGGCCTAAAGTGCTACAATTCCCTTTAAAGCTCCACAAAGCAAAACAGCTGATCACACATGTTCTATGTTGATTAAATCAACCTTGTGCCTTTATTGACATATTTATGTCTGTTGGTTCCAGGCTGCATCCTGATATCCACCAACCTGGACAGGGATACAGAGTCATAGCTGCAATCTTAATTCTGCAGTATGCATCTTGCATGGAATTGATATTTATATACAAGAAAAACTGTTTATATGTTACTTTGTAGAGACATCTAGCCCTCCACCACATATAGTTCATCTGTATAGGCTTTTTTCTCTCTATGATTTTAGGAATTAAGGTTTCGTTTCTAGATTAGGATGAGCCAGGTTAATTTCTTCTTCTGTCTGCCATCTCCCAGATCCATATGTGGGATCCAGGGCCCCCTTTTTTTTTGGGGGGGGGGGGAAAGAATAAACCTCGTGCTCCCTAACAAGTATGTTGTAGAAGGCGACTGATTAGGGTTGTTTCTTCCAAAGTTGCAGTGCATCTGCCTTAGAGGTGAGGAACGAAAAGTCTGCATACTGATAAGTCAGATCTGTAAAACAGATTTGCACACTAAAGTCCAGAAGTGGATGAACAACCAGAACTTTCCACCAGACTTTACAGCCAGTGAACATGAAGAAGAATCTTCCAGTGTAATGTAACAGTGAAACAACCCCACCCCCACCCCCATAAGAGTTATTCACATATTTCACTAACATAATATTGATTCACTGTTTCTTCCAAAATGTTGTAGCCACAATACAAGTTCTTTTGGAGGGATAGAATGGTAATTCTGACATAGATAAAAGATGTCAGGATCTAGTAAACAACCTGCTAAAAATGAAGATAATTTCAGCAAAGTGAAAGAAAAAATGCATCGACTCTTTGGCTTTGGTAAATCATCAGCACCACTAGCTGTCCCTAAAGCCGCAACACGTGAAGTAGTTTTCACCCCTGAGATTCTGAAGGTGAAATTACTTCTTCTCCTTAAAGTCTATGCCATGTGGTGTTGGTAGTCATGCCTTATCCACAACCTTCTTAGTTGATATTTAATTGGTTTTGCATGTTTTAATTTAATGATCCACGCTAGTGTGGAAGCTACATGCTTGCCTGCTGGCCTTAAGGTCTAGGGTTCAAATTCGCACTTGGTCAGATTTTTATAAAAATTTACCTTGGCTCCCAGATATACCAAGCCTAAAATGGGTACCACTTAATGTCCTTTGAAGTAAAAGCATCAGGGACATCAGACATTGAGTACTTGTTGGTCTGAAAAATATAAGTCTAACACTAGTACACTTTTTAAGGAGACCCATGGGGATCATAACTTGAGCGACAGTGTTTGTGCTTTGTGCACCACTCTAAGCAGGGTGTTCTGCGAAGAGAGACTAAGCCATATGGGATAAAACCTAATGCAGTGAAACTGATCCTCTCAACTTTGACCTTTTTGCCTGATTTTTCAAAGTGATGATTTTTTTTCTGCCTTGAACATCTGAAATCCTCTGGTTCTGGAGTGTGTTAAGAGTTATAGCTCATGGAAAGTTTCTGATTTATTTGATATGTTCTTCTTCTTCTTCTTAACGTTCACTGGCTGTAAACTGCGGTGGGAAAGTTCTGGTTGTTCACCCACTTCTGGACTTTAGTCTCATTCCAGAACCTGTTTGCATGCACACCCATTTTACAAATCTGGCTTATTTGTGTGCAGACTGTTGGCTCTTTGCCTCTCAGGCAGATGTACTTTGTGAAGGAAACATCCCTAATTGGTCGACTCTTACGACATAGTTGATAGGGAGGCATTGGGTCTACTCTCTAATTAGTAACCTTTTATGACATGCTTGTTAGGTGGCAATATGTCCTCTTTCCCCCATAATCGGACCCGTAACCCACATCATCATCCTTTGTGTGCCGTTAGACGTCACAAAAGACTCGCATTCGATTCCTCCACTCCGCTCTGTTTCATGCATCTTTCTCGATTTCTGACATGGAGTTCAGCCCAGCAATTTTTGCCTCTAGTGATAATGTTCTTCTAATATAACTAGAATGTCTTTGCACTGGAACCCACAGGGACATAGGAATAAAGGAAGGTAAAAAAAACACATGAAGAAGGGAGCTGGAGAATGAAGTTAGAAAGATGGGGAGGACATGGGAAGAGCTGCATGTTATAGCAAAAGATAGAGCGACTTGGCGTGAGTTGGTTGAGGGCCTATGCTCCATTTAGGGCTAGAAAGGCAGAAGAAGAAGAAGGCTTTACATACTCGAGTGGATCAGTCACAGTTACAGTGGTTGGGACGTGCATGCAGAATGGGCGAAAATCAGACACCATGGCAGGCATGGGAGGCTAAGAACCAGGAAACCAGACCTCCAGGGTGACCCAGGGTCTGCTGGGAAGACACTATATGATATTCCCTAAGTGACAAAAGATTAAAGCCAAAAAGAAAACGGCTAATAGAGAAAGCTGGTGATCTATCTGGCAAACCTCTACATCCCAAGGTAGAAGAGGAGCGACTAAGTGGGAGAAATAATTCCTTTCCTTAAATGTATGTTGTTTTTCAGGAAATTGGACCAGAAAGCCCAGCCAACAACAGAATCCGTACGATTCGAGAGCTTTGTGAAATTGTCAAACACAGACATCTAGAGAATGTGAGCTGTGTTTCTGCTTTATTGACTTATTTAAAAAAAAAACGTTTCTAGACTGTGCCATACTTAGCATACATCTTCATTGATTTAACAAAGAAATTTCTAGACTGTCATACTTAGCATACATCTTCATTGATTTAACAAAGACATTTCTAGACTGTATCATACTTAGCATACCTCTTCATTGATTTAACAAAGACATTTCTAGACTGTGTCATACTTAGCATACATCTTCATTGATTTAACAAAGACATTTCTAGACTGTATCATACTTAGCATAACTCTTCATTGATTTAACAAAGAAATTTCTAGACTGTATCATACTTAGCATAACTCTTCATTGATTTAACAAAGACATTTCTAGACTGTGTCATACTTAGCATACATCTTCATTGATTTAACAAAGACATTTCTAGACTGTATCATACTTAGCATACATCTTCATTGATTTAACAAAGACATTTCTAGACTGTATCATACTTAGCATACATCTTCATTGATTTAACAAAGACATTTCTAGACTATATCATACTTAGCATACATCTTCATTGATTTAACAAAGACATTTCTAGACTGTATCATACTTAGCATACATCTTCATTGATTTAACAAAGAAATTTCTAGACTATATCATACTTAGCATACATCTTCATTGATTTAACAAAGAAATTTCTAGACTGTATCATACTTAGCATACATCTTCATTGATTTAACAAAGAAATTTCTAGACTGTATCATACTTAGCATACATCTTCATTGATTTAACAAAGAAATTTCTAGACTGTATCATACTTAGCATACATCTTCATTGATTTAACAAAGAAATTTCTAGACTATATCATACTTAACCTTACCTCTTCATTGATTTAACAAAGAAATTTCTAGACTATATCATACTTAAACCTTACCTCTTCATTAATTTAGAAACAAGTTTCTAGACTACATCGTACCTAACAGTCTTAATTAATATATTTAAAAAAAGTTGTTAGACTTTATCATTCTCAACATACATCTTGTGTGTTCCTGTATGTATACATGTATTCATCTATATATATATAAATCAATGTTTGTGTGTTTGTTTATGAGTGATAGACTCGGAAACTACTGAACCGATTTAGCTGAAATTTTCAGGATATGTTTGTTTTGATACCGGATGTTGACCCATCATGGTTTGAAATTCAGCCTGTCATTGTAAGAGATAGTGTGCGACAATTTTTGGAAAAATCTTCAAAACTAATATTTACATTTTTAGTGACAGTTAATTATAGCCACGTTAGTAAATGCGCATGTGCCGTAGTCAGAACGCAAGACTTCCACCATTCGCCGACGAGATACGTGCAGCCAAAGCCTTCTCTAATAAATAGAGTATGTCTTGGTACAGCAAACAAGACTATCTCTATATTTGTGTAGACAATGATTGCCACAATAACCATATTAAACACGATTTCTATTTTCTGTTTTTTTTTCTTCAAACAACCTTCGATGAGTTGGAAAGTAGCCGATGGATTGGAAGGGAAGGGGGGGGGGGGGGGGGGGGGGCATCAAGGACTATCTCGACGTCGGCACAGACATTGACTGCGACATTAACCGTGTTAGACATGTGCGATTTCTATTGTTGTGCTGTTTCAATAATATATCTGGAATATCTGTCTATGAGAAAACAATTGCCTGCTGTTTTGAGTTGTATTTTAATCGGGACACTGTAGTAGGGACACACATCTCAGATAGTTTTGTTCTCTTTTCACTTCTCCGATGAAGACTTCCACCATTCGCCGACGAGATACGTGCAGCCAAAGCCTTCTCTAATAAATAGAGTATGTCGTGGTACAGCAAACAAGACTATCTCTATATTTGTGTAGACAATGATTGCCACAATAACCATATTAAACACGATTTCTATTTTCTGTTTTTTTTTCTTCAAACAACCTTCGATGAGTTGGAAAGTAGCCGATGGATTGGAAGGGAAGGGGGGGGGGGGCATCAAGGACTATCTCGACGTCGGCACAGACATTGACTGCGACATTAACCGTGTTAGACATGTGCGATTTCTATTGTTGTGCTGTTTCAATAATATATCTGGAATATCTGTCTATGAGAAAACAATTGCCTGCTGTTTTGAGTTGTATTTTAATCGGGACACTGTAGTAGGGACACACATCTCAGATAGTTTTGTTCTCTTTTCACTTCTCCGATGAAGTGGCTGCTTGGTCGAATGGTTAGAACACTGGGCTCCTGTGTGGGAGACCAGGGTTCGAATCCGCAGTAGTTTAAAAAAATTTTTTTTTTAACCCGAGGCTAAAATAAAATCCTCACCTGCACTGTCAGGGCGACAGCACTAGCCATGTGGCCCTTAATACTAAAAAAAAGAAAAGGACAGGTATGTGGGTTAACCAGTTGATAATTAAATTTGACCATTTTGCATACTTATGATTTCATTTTTAAACTTTCCGATTGCATGGTTACACTGAAATTTCATAGCTTTCCATTTATTTTCATTTAGATTTAATTATTTCATCTGCGTTGGAATTTTAAACTGTGCTGTTTTTTTTTCTCCCAACTACTTCAATGAGGGAAAGAGTAGTCGGTGAATTGGGGGGGGGGGGGCGAACTGTTTACTGAGAGAGCTTTAAGTCACAGTAACTGCTTTACCCACTCAAAGTAGCAGCAGCAGTAGTAGTTGTGGTTGGGCTGTTACACTGTAGTGCTCTCAGGTGAAGACCACCGGTAAGGTTATAGCATTCTTCTGTCGGGAAGCGAAATTATACATCCTAACCTGACCAGTCCGTGGCGACAGCACTAGCCATGCGGCACCAAATCTTCTGGCTCACGACTCCCTGTCTACTCCGATGGTATTATAGATAGCAGTGACATTATTTTAGCTACTGTGGTGGTGGTCGTGGTAGTAGTTGTACTGGTACTTGAAGAATGATGTGGTAAATATTACACAAGCCCCATTCACTACCTATTACAATTCCTGCTCCCCATTTTTGTCCGGATGGACAGGGATGTCAATGTCAGTTACAACAACAACAAAATATCGCCAGGTGATGAATATAAATTCCTTCGAAGAGGGAGAGAGCAGTAGTCGGTGGAAGAGGGGAGGGGAGGTGTGTAATGACTTAAATTTAAGAGAACTTAAAGAGCTTTACATGTGATTTTTAAGTTCTCATTACTTAATTTGTTTATATTTTACTAACGCTACCTCCGCTATTCTATTTTTTTACGACTTACTTTGTTATTTACAAGTACAGTTGTAGCTTTACTTCCGTCTCCTATAAAAATACATGTGATAACCAAATAACCATTTTTGTTATTGTGCTAATAACACCATTTAAACGATCACTAATATAAAGACACAATTATATGGTGCGTGTTCTAAAGTTGGAAAACCAGACTATCTCTATATCTGTGCAGAGAATGATTGCTACATTAACTATATTAGACACGTGCGATTTCCATTGTCTTTCTTTTCCAAAAACCTTTGATGAGGGAGAGAGTAGTAGGTGGATTTAGTTGTGGTGGGGGTGGGGGGTGGGGATCAAAGACTATCTCTATATCTGAGCAGACAATTATTGTATTAGACACGTGCAATTTCTATTTTCTTTCATTTCCATTTAGCCAAACTATGCCACAGCAACTCGTAGTCGGGTACAGCTAGTATATATATATATATATATATATATATATATATATATATATATATATATATATATATATATATATATATATATACACACACACACATATTAATATGCACATTACACACACAAGCACACAATGCACGGGTACATACAATAACACACTTTCCCTCCCCTCTTACTTTCTCCTCCTGCTCCCTTCCTCTCTCTCTACTTAGTTTACAAGGTCAGTCCTTTCATTGTGGTTTTTATAAGCCTACATTGTTATCATTCAAACATTTTGTTTGTTTGTTTCTCATTAATTGGCTATCTATATCCAAATGGCTCTTGAGCCATTCTACAAGGATGTTAAAAACAGTAAAGAAGGGGAAAACCCAGCTCTTCTGTAGGATATCATTTGCTTCATCCAAACGTGTAATTGACAATAACAGTGCTTTCTGTGTTATTATTATTTACCACACTTTAAATGCTGAGACTAGCTGAAGCTTTAACAATAAAAAATGAACAATTCCATCTTATGTAAACAGAGGTGAAATCAGGAGGTGAAGAAAAGACGCTGGTGTTGTATAGTGCACACATTGAGAAAACCAAGAACAGTATAACCAGAATGTCTTGCACTGGAACCCACAGGAACATAGAATCAAAGGAAGACCAAAAAACAAGAACTTTCTTTATCACCCCAGTTGACGAAACTAGATTGCATAAAATATTCTTCATCTGTACAAAACCTTAGTCATATTTTAATTTAATGATTCCCCCGTGTGGGTTCCGGGGCCCTATTGTGGGGAAAACAAGAATAGACCCACTGCCTCCCCAAAAGCATGTCGTAAGAGTCGAGTAACTGGGGAGATTCCTTTGAAGTCAGAGTGCATCTGCCGGAGAGGCAAGGAACCAGCAGTCTGCATTAATTGAATCAGATCTGTAAAACTGATGCACACGCAACACTCAGGTTCTGGAGCATGACTGCAGTCCAGAAGTGGATGAACAACCAGAAATTTAAACCAGAGTGTACAGCTGGTGAACGTGAAGAAGAAGAAGAAGAATTTAATGATTCGAAAATTTGTTATAAATGTAAAAAAAAATGCATTATGTGGTTCTCTTATCAAATTTATAGAAAGAAAGGATGTTCGTCCCATAGTTGTCTGTTACTGGCATCTCTATTGTCTCTGAAATGCATCATGAGTCAGTACCTCAAGACAGTATTCACACCCATTACCCTTGAATATATTACCTTCAGGCACACAGTGTCTACTGTTAAGGTTTATGTGATGTATTTGAAACACAACTGCCACATAATATGTTTTTTAAAATGGTATTTATATACAGTTTTTGAATGACGTTAATTTTTTTCTTCTTCTTAAAGCCTTTGCCGTATGGTGTTGATAGTCATGTCTATCCACAAGTTTCTGTCTCGTGTACTTTCAGTCAACTCTGACACAGATGATCCTCCCTGCCATGGTATCAAACTGTCCAGCATCTGTTCTCCTGGTCTCCCTCTGCTCCCCTCCAACTTTCCTACTGTCACGATGTACTCCAGTTTTCTCCTCATCACATGATCAATGAATGTAGATTGTCTCTTTCTGATGTGGGCAATCAGTAGTTTTCATGATTCAGTTTCTTTTAAGACGTCTTCATTACTCCTTTTATCAGTCCAGGGTATTCTTATTCGTCTATTTAACAACATCTCCACAGCTTCCATATAAGTTTTCACTAATTTACTAACTGTCCATGATTCAATTCCGTATATCAATTTTATTACACCGCATAAACAATATTGTTACAGAATGCAATTGAAGCTTTATGGAGCCAGATAAGTGATCTTCTGCAGCCTCATGTCATACAAGAAAATCGACAGCTGGCTCTTCACTTCCTGCACTGTTTGCTGCAGGGGCAGGTAATCTTATTCGTTTTCTTTGCGTTCTTTGGCGCAAAGTTCTGGTTGTTCACCCACCTCTGGACTTTAGACTCATTCCAGAACCTGTGTGTTGCATGTACATCTATTTTACAGATCTGACTTATTTGTATGCAGACTATTGGTTTCTTGCCTGTCAGGCAGATGCACTCTGACTTTGAGGGAAACCCCCAGTTAGTCGACTCTTTTGACGGGTTTGTTGGGAAGGCAGTGGGTCTATTCTTGTTTTCCCTCACAGTAGGGCCCCGGAACCCATTCAGTGAAGGTAATAAATGATTAAAGGGTTAATTATCTTTAAACTGTAATTTTCTTCTTGTGTGTGCCACCTGACCCAAATAATATGGGCATACATGGTCTTCCTATGTGCATTGTACTTTGGAAATTGTTTAAGTCAATTTACTTTGATCTGTTAAATTCAGGTGTCAGATATAGCTTGTTGAATATGCTCATTTCTTTCATCATCATCATCATCATGAAGTGCCTTGCAGACTGGTTTGGACGATCATGTCTGCCTGCAACCTGCAATCTCCAACCGAATGCATCAGTTCTGCACCGAAACCTCTCCATGCCCTGACAAAAAAGGCTGGCTGTCAAAAATCTTCTCATTTTGTCTTTCTTTTTCTTTCCAAAAATCTCTCATGTAGTCACAGCATGTTCCATTTTTTTCATAATGTCAGGCAGTGCAACAATGCATTCCTGGCAGTGCAACATGCATTCCTGGCAGTGCAACAATGCATTCTTGGCAGTGCAACATGCATTCCTGGCAGTGCAACAATACATTCTTGGCAGTGAAACATGCATTCCTGGCAGTGCAACAATGCATTCTTGGCAGTGCAACAATGCATTCTTAGCAGTGCAACATGCATTCCTGGCAGTGCAACAATACATTCTTGGCAGTGCAACATGCATTCCTGGCAGTGCAACAATACATTCTTGGCAGCGCGACAATACATTCTTGGCAGCGTGACAATACATTCTTGGCAGCGCGACAATAAATTCTTGGCAGTGCGACAATACATTCTTGGCAGTGCAACAATACATTCTTGGCAGCGCGACAATAAATTCTTGGCAGCGCAACAATACATTCTTGGCAGCGCGACTATGCATTCTTGGCAGCGCGACTATGCATTCTTGGCAGTTATCTGTGGGCCACTTACTAGGCCTCTTTGGTCCAGGTATGGCCTACGGGCCACCAGTTAAATAGCCCTGTTTCACATAAAGTGAACATTTAAAAGACTGGTTAATTAAAATATGTCTGAGAAAAGGAATTTCTTTGGTCACATCAAACATCACAGGGGTGAAAAACAACAACAGTGGAATAGCATTGCTATTGGAAAATAAGTCTAGGGTCAGCCAGCTTGTATGTGGCCATAAGACATGTAGATTCTAAACATATTTCTTTCTAACACTAGCTTTCAGTCTTATTTCCTCCCCATGCTAACTCCAGGCCCTTGGGGGGTGGGGGGGGGGGGAAAGGGGTTAGACCCACTACTCTTTAATAAAATTGTTATTATAGGCAACTAATTAAGAGTTAAATTTAATTGGATGTGTTGGGTTAAAAGGCATATGTATTGCAGCCTAGCTGTAAACCACAACACAAGATACCAGTTGCCCTTTTAAGCGTGAATGCAGAAGTAGAAGTCCTATCTCCATTTTTTTTTGCTTTCATAATATATCTTTTGTTAGCTCTCTCTTGTTCAGATATAGTTTATTCTTTTGTGTATTTTCACTGAAGCAAATATACTGTTAATTTGTTTTTCAGTTGTCTAACATGACCATTGTCCGTGGACATTTCTTCAGAGTCATACAAAGTCTGACCGATCCTGCTGACATACACCACAGGTATGCTTGAGAAAGTTGATAGTTGTGGTCTGTGAATTCATACTCAGCTATAGAATCTGATTTTAAAAAAAAGTATTGATTAGTACTCATAAAAATAGAGGAAAGAAATAGATATTTTTCCTAACAGAAAATGTAATGTTTAAAAACTACAATCTCTGTGATATATAATTAATTTACAGTCTCTGTGCTGTATATTTTTCAGACTTGAACTGTTTAAAACATTGAGCGAGTGTGGTAAAAATCTCCTCTACTTTGAGGATGAAACAGGTGAGTTTTAGTGGCTTGATTTTTAGAGAAGTTTGTGTTTTGTTGGATGTTGATTAGTATCTTATTATAAGTTTAATTGGATGTTGTATGGTGCAATGGATGTTTAAGGTTGATTTTTAAATGTTTGATCAGATGTACAGTGGATCCTGACCTTTTTTTAGTCACGACCCCATTTAGTAGAGGCAAAGTGACCCTGTGACCTCATATATTGAAAATATACTTTTTAATAGTGTAAATGAAAATACATAAAACATAGATTTACAGTATAATATAATTCTCCTTGAATTGGTTCCGGGGCCCCATTGTGGGGGAAATACAAAAATAGACCCACTGCCTCCCATCTACTACCTCCCTAACATGCATGTCAGCTAATTAGGGGTTTCCTTCGAACTCGAGGTGCATCTGCATGAGAGTCAGGTGCATCTGCATGAGAGCCAGGTGCATCTGCATGAGAGTCAGGTGCATCTGCATGAGAGTCAGGTGCATCTGCATGAGAGTCAGGTGCATCTGCATGAAAGTCAGGAAACCAACCATCTGCCCACAGATAAACCAGATCTTTAAAATGGATATGCACGAAAGGCTCAGACTCTGGAGCAGACTAAAGACCAGAAGTGGGCGAACAATAATTTCATTTTCCCCTGGAGTTTACAGCCATTGAATGCTAAGAAGAAAAAGAAGATATAGTGCAAAATGCTGAAGATGAGAAGTAGAAAAAGGGGAGAAAGATGTGGGGGTTGTTGGCGGGCGTGAAGGAAATGAATAATAAATGATGGCAGGAGCAAAAAAGAATAATAATAAGTAAACCTATCACTCCATGCACACTAAAAAAAAAGGCAAGATCCAGCTGGATTTCCAAAAAAAAGTCCTTTAAAAACAACAGTAAATTTACACAGATCACAAATACATATGTAAGCAATTTATTTGCCTATATTAAAAAAAATATATATAAAGATAAACGGAGGGATTAATCAGTAAATATGAATAGGATCAAGCATTCTCTGGAATACATTCCCTGGAGCCTTAAAAAAACCCATATTTATTGAGTGACCAGTGAAGTGAACCTGTGACCTCTACCACTGAGGCTTATGGGAAAGTGTGACATCAACTTAGCATTTAAAAAAACACAAAACTATTTTGCACTTAGGAAAACCCCCTAAATGCTATTTGTAATTAACGTATTCACATCCAGACCTCCTAAATGTTTGCACAAGCGGGAAACAACTAATAACAATAATTATGCATCTCATAACCAGTTCCTATAGATAAGTCGAAAAGGGGACATTTAAAAGGAATTATGGGCAACCGTAAATGTTAGTTTTGTGACTTCTCGGGGCGAAATAGTTAAGAGTCACTTAGGATTTGATTTTTTATGTGTACACAGTTTAAATCTTGTATGTGTACACAGTTTAAATCTTGTATGTGTACACAGTTTAAATCTTGTATGTGTACACAGTTTAAATCTTGTATTGCTGCTTATGTTGACGAAGAAATAATGTCTGGACTTGTGCAGTAAGTTTTAATTCGAATTTTGAGGACTTGAGACTTTGTGTGTGTGTGTGTGCATGCGTGCGCATGCGCACATATAATATAAACTGGTATCCTGAACATACAGTGACATGCTTCTTTTGATAAGACTCAGATCAGTAGCATAGCAATTTTCTGTCCAGGACATTCATGTTGTAGGGTAATAACCTTGCTGATGGATTGGCTCCTGCCTCTTCCATGGGGGGCAGGCAGGCTTCTTTATATGATAAACAGTATGTTGAAGGCTCTCTGGGATCAAGGAGACAGTGCAGCAGAATAGAGTATCTGTTCTTGCAGTGATCTAACAATATTCAGTTCATAGAGAAAAAGACAGCCTTACTTTGATCAGATTGCATCTTGCAGATTCAATATGAGAGCTATTTGTTGGCTGCTGAGGAAGGAGACTGAGCACTTGCAGAAATAAGTTCAGTTACGTCATTTTTTTCAATAATTCATCTCATCTTATTCTTCTGGCTCCTTACAGTGTTGAGTTAAAGAATAAACATTGAGAGCATTCCAATTTGTGTGCTGACCTCTTTGGTGATCATGCTTCCTCTGATAAATGTTCCAGCTGTCTTTCTTTGATAATTATCTGTGTCCTTGGTCATACATTTTAACATCTCTCCGTAATATTTTTTTCTTCCCTCTAAAATATCACTCGCTCGGCTCGCTAGCTTAGTTGGATAAACCGGATTGTGCAAGTGACAGGGTGACGAACTCCTTGTGGTCCGGGTTCACGCCTGGGGGTAGGCAGAAAAGCCACATTTCTCCCAGATTATCATGGAAATCGAGGCCGAATGGTTGAGATATCCACAATACTGAGCCTAAGGGTTAACAACTCATGGCTTCTGGATACTAAAAAAAAAATAAATAATAATACCACTCACCTAGATCATCATTATCTGGTTAATCCATTCTGTGTCACATATGGCTTGTAGTCTATTTCTCCATTCGGTTCTTCCTGTGACTTACTTTCAATATCATGGATTAAATCCAGTCCAGCACCTTTGGCTTCCTTTCCTGTGAGTTTCTGTAGCAAAGTCATAGTTTACATGGTTGGGGAGCTAGGCCCATACCACTCCTCCTCCTTTCTCATTTCAGCTTGAAACTGACAATTGAGGTGATTAACATATGGTTACTTTCTGTAGAAGTACCCATTTTTAATCATTGATCACATGTAATGATGGTCTAAGTTTGTCTGTTAATGTTCTGATTTCCTTGAACTTTTCTCAGTTTTCATACAGTGTTGTTTACCAATTGTTTATTGCAGGCAGACATGTATGATTCCTAACAGAACACGCTCAGATGATGAGCTTACTGTAAGCATCACCTTATTTATATTTGTTTACGTGATGTCAGAAACAGTATAATTTTCTTTTTCGACCTCGGTTTATGTCCCTAATCCACCCTGGATCCTTGGCTGCATACCAAATGAATTTTCAATAAGAAATAAAAAAGGTAAATGACCCGTTTCCACACCTTCAGGCGTATCGGGCATGCAGGGCTAGACCTATATTTTATAGACTAATCGGCACTGAGTGGGTGATGTAGTCAACATAACGCTGACTACCTTTACTTCCCAGGAGTGTACATAGTACCCATTAAAGGCTGGGTTGACATGGGAGCCAAGGATATTATTTTAAATGGTCTGGCTTGGTCAGGGCCTGAGCCCTTGACCTTCCAATCGGCAGTTGACGTCATAAGAAAGAAAGGAAAAGTGATTAATCCATTCTCCCCCCCAAAAAAAGTCCCATTGTTATAGGCAGATTATACCTTGATCAGGCTGTATACAATAATTTAAACGCTGCTTAAGACCAAAATACATAAATACAAAAGCAATTTGATGGAATAAGTGAAAATGTAACCTCACTTTACCTTGCTAAGAAGTCTCCACTGTGTACTAGGCTGGTGCTGAGGAGGGAGGAGGAGATGCTATGGTTTGGAAGGAGAGTTCCTTTCCAAGAGTAAAACTTCAGGAATCTGAAATTCTAATATTTTTCTTGTTTTTTTGTAAACGGTTTGTTTGGGCTTGGTTGAGGTGGTACTTCTCTGCAAAGTTTTGACATCCATCCATTTGGAAAACATTTCCTTGATTAATGAGAGAGGTAAATGAGATAGTGTACGATGTCATGGCCCATTTTGACTCATTCAAGTTCTAGCATGCGAGCCAATTCCACACATGGGTTGTATACCAAGCAAAATTTGTCATGTCTAAACAGGATGTATATCAAGTCGAATATATACGATAGTGAACGTATACTGAGGTATCACTGTAGATAATTAATTATATCATTGCTCAGATTACTGTAATGACATTTGTAAGTATGTTATTCCAATTTTGTTTTTTAAAACTATGTCTAGAAATGCTTGCAAGTCCTGGATGCGGTCGTCTGCTACAGTTACCTCCCTTCTGATTCCTTATATCACTTTGTGGCTGCTTTGTGCCACACAGTGGATAAGGCTCCATACAGCGAAAAATCTTGGGAGGTGAGGCTTTTTATTACAAAAATAGCATTGTTATCAATTATTTCACTCCCAGTGTGTGTTCCAGGGCTGCATTTTGGGCAACAAAGAATAGGCCTGCTGCCTGCTTAACAAGTAGGAGTCGACTAACAGTCGGCATACAAATTAACCAGATCGGTAAAACAGATGTACACGCAAAACTCAAGTTCTGGATCAAGACCAAAGTCCAGGAGTGGATAAACAACCAGAACCTTCAGCCAGAGGTTATAGCTGGTGAATGTTAAGAAGATGAAGAAGAAGAAATTATTTGAACAGTGTGAATCCTTTTTGAATCAACTTAAGGATTTTATCATTGTGACTGGCCTAGTTGGTTTCACCAAGTATCCCTAATTATAACCGTCTTTTAAGTTTGAACTGGTATTGGAATCTGTACATATTGGAATGACATCTGATCTACCACTCATCAGGAACTGCGGTGTGCAACTATGAAGTAGCGGTGTTAACAAGATGACAAGAGTACCAACTTCATTTCACTTTATTATCCCTTATGATTCAACCTTTATTTGCGGAGTGGCGGGTTGCCCACTGAGAGCATTGTTCAAAACATAAAAGTTCATAGCTTCGGTGACAATTTCCCAGCAATGTCAGAAACACCCACACTCGTGAAACAAGGTACTGAGATACCAAACCCACAACCTTGATTGTGTGACGAGGACAGCTTTAATACCGCATGGAGACCCCCAGAAACCACTAGATGAAAAAAATAATGTTTTTTTAAAATATCAAATAATTTATACTTCAGATAAGACTGCATTCCTGATGTGGGTTCTGTGGCTTATTTTGTTGGGGAAAAAAAAAATTGACCTATGACCCACAACAAACATGTCATAGAAGGCGAGTAATTAGGAGTTTTTACTTTGAAGTTGCAATGCATCTGTTTCTTTTTCTTCTTCTTCTTCTTCTTCTTCTTTGCGTTCAGTTTTGAATGCTCAGTTCTGACGCTTAGGTATGTTGCCTCAATATACTCGCATGTCAGCAGCAGGTCCTTCATGGTTCCTCATAGCTTGCTGTGCACACTTTGCTTTTGAGGCTAGGTTTCTTTTAGAAGTTGTAGGTAAAGTGATCCTGTCTGACAGGCACACTATGGGGATTAAAAGTCTTTATTTTATGCATGTGGTAGTTGAGCTTGAAGTGTCCTGTTCGTAGATGGAAAATTGTTGTATATTGCTTTCTGTTGGGTCTGCTGATTTCTGATCTTGTGGATGGTTACTGTTAGTTTGTTCTCTCCACAATTCCTTGTATTTTCCCTTGAAAAGTTTTTTGATTTCTGGTAATGACGGTGAATGGGTGTGTTGTTTCTCCTTTGTTCCATTTTTTGCAAGTCTGTCTGCTAACTAATTTCCTGGTATGCTGCAAGAGCCAGGATCCACTATGGAGCGATTTGATTGTTTTCTGAGAGTCTGTTGGCTGGCTGGTTAGTTCTGTCTCCATGTTGTCTCGTGGATCCATCTGAGTTGCCTGGAGGACTGACATGCAGTCACAAAGAAAAACAATTTTGCATTTTTTAATTTTTCTTCGTCAAGCACTTTGTCTGCATCAATAATTGCTTGCTGCTCTGCTCTGAAGTTTGTTGAGTCTTACAGAGGCACATGATGTTTCTACTGTGGTCTCATCTTGCAGCATGATGACCGATCCATCTGCTCTGTTTTTCTGCTCCCCCAATGATCCATCAGTGTAAACATGTACATCTGTTTGAAAGGCAAGGAAACAACAGTCTGCACACAATTCAGCAATTTCTGTTAAAAAAAAAAAATAAGGTTGTACACACAAAACTCAAGTTCTGGAACAAGTCCTAAGTCCAGAAGTGGACATTCAACCAAAACTTTTAGCTGGAGTTTTCAGCCAGTGAATGCTAAGAAGAAGAAGAAACCTACCTTCTCTAGATTCTAATCTTCTAGTTTCTTCTTCTTTAGTAGCCTTCAGATTTAATTTTGGATTATACAAAAATGTTTCAGTGTTGCTTTGTCTTGAAAATAGCACATTTATAAATATGACAATTTATTCTAGACAAATTCACACACATTTATTAACTATATCCATTTATTTTTGTTTATATTTCTTCTTTGTGTAAGAATCTTGACATAATGAAATCTGTTTCTTCACTGCTTGCAGTTGATGAGGAAACTGTTGGGAACCTACCTGGGACACAGTGCCATTTTTACCATGTGTTGTATGCTGCAAGACAAGTGAGATACTAGACATTATCTGTTTTGTTTTATAGACTGTTGTTAGACTTGTGTAAATTATTTAAAGATCAGATGGCCTTAATGTGGATTTTCTGTCACTAACTTTAGAAGTGCTGAACTTGAATCCATCAAAGGGGAGTATTCTCAGGGCAGTGTTTTCATAGATGTTTGATGATAACATATTTCTGTTTGATCACAAGAGCGCTTATTGGACTGTCCCGAGTGCTGTTATGTCAGTTCCTAACCCAACTCAGCTTATCATGGTTTAGTATTTTGCACTTCTTCACCAAGTGCTTATAATCCAACACATCTTATTGCAACAGGCAAATTTGGGATATGCCTTCCCTTAACTTTTTTTTTCTTTTGAATTTGCAAACGAGGCAGTGGGTTTTGTTGATAGATATATGTTGTATTACATATGAATATTTTTATATTGTAATTCTTTTCATGACTTTTCTTTGCTGTTGTTTGATTTAATCTTATTTTTTCTTCGTGTTCATCAGCTGTAAACTCCAGCGGAAAGTTCTGGTTGTTTGTCCACCTGTGGACTTTAGTCTCGGTCCAGAACCTGAGGTTGCGTGCATATCGATGCACTCCAACTTTGAATTGAAGCCCCCATTTGTCGACTCTTACGACATGCTAGTTGGGGAGGCAATGGGTCTACCCTGTATTCTTGTTATCCCCACAATGGGGTCCCGGAACCCACATGGGAAGATTTGATTTAATGTTTATATATCCATAATCACATTGAATTTGACCAGATAAATCTCTGTATGGTATCATTTTATGAGATGGATTACTCAAGAACTGCATTAGTCTGGAAAAAAAAAAAATAACAATACCTCGACCATGTATAGTATTTGATCCTAGACAAGCATTCTGATGTTGAGTATAATGAGTACTGTAATGTCAGAGCTGCGAAATTATCTTCATAAACCATAAATAGTCCCAAACAAAAGAAGGAGGGGAAGGATGAAGTAGATTAGAATAGAAGAAAGAGCAGATTAATAATATATAATATGTTTAAAGTATCAATGAGCACAGTTATGTTTGAAATCAGTTTGTGGGCACATTTTTTAAACAGTTTATTCCATAACTGTTACAGAAGACAGCCTGTCGATGTTTTGCTGTTACGAGGTGCAATCTTTTTTACTGGCATGGCATTATGGGGCTCTCGTCGTGTGACAACCTTGAAGCATACACATGCTTCTGTGCTGCCATCTTTCCTCCAGGTCAGACATCTACTTGTCTGTATTTGCAGTGTTATCCCTGGTGTGTTGTTTTAGTTTATTCAGTTGAGCAGAAGTTAAAATGGCTTATTTGCTTCCCCAGAAGTGGAGAACATTTGTTAATCTTAATATTATGTGTGAACGGAACAGAGATTATGGGTTCCCAAATAATATGTACTTGAATGAATGTGTGTGTTAGAGGCATTGACCAGAATTGGACAACATCTGTTAATTGTAATATTATGTGTAAATGAAACAGAGATTATGAATATCCATTTAATATGTACTTGAAGGAATGTGTGAGTTAGAGGCAGAGGAGATGTAGTTTCAAAAATATTCCTGATCAGCCTGAAAAAAATTTCAGTATTAAGCAGGAAAATATAGGTGACAGTAAAACAGTATACATGTCTGTAAGAAAAAAAACCAGAAAGTGTTCATTGTTCAAATAATGAGAATAAAGGTATGAAAAAACATTTTTATGACCGGAAGAATCTAGTAGAAGTAGCAGAGATGGTCTGAGGTAAAGTTAAAGTCAGCCTGATCAGCTTCATTGCAGAGTTCTATCTTATGTAACTCATGTACACTGCAGTACACTGCAGAATGCCTAGCCTCCTGCCAAGAATAGAACTTCATAGTTCCAGTGACAGTGCTCAGAGAACACAGTAAAAAAAAACTGAATGATGCAGTCTAGAAATGAACCCATGACCATCAAAGCGCTAGGCAAATGTCTTGACTACTTAGCCATGTAGCGCCAGCATCCCCTCTCCCATCTTTCTGAGATAAATGCCTAGCTTAAATGTCAGATAAATGATGCGGGATGATCTAAAATGGTGATATAGAGGAATATCACTAATATAATTTATTCCGAACATGTAGGAACAAAATCAATAAATAGACATGGATGCTTCTGCTATTTGACAGACCACACGCTGATGATAAAAATATGAATTATTGTTTTACTTTGTTTTGTTCAGGCACTGTCTCATGAAAATGGCATCGTGGCATATGAGGTGGTTTTAAACCTGCAGCGTTTGGTGAATAAGTATGGAAAAGATTTACAGCATGTTACGTGGGAGATTGTCTTGGATATACTGGAAACTTTGCTTATCCAGATTGACGTATGTATTAGAACTTTTTGGGTGATTGGATTTAAATGACCGTAAATTGCAGCGCACAAGTCAACCCCAAGATTTTGAGCTCAAAATTATGATTTAGGCCTATACTTTTTTAATGCATTTTATCCTCACCATATAAGTCAATTCCTAGTTTTGTAAAGATTGTTCATGCGTGACAAACTTGACTTCTGTGCTGCAGTTTGAGGTAGATGAATTTGTGAAAACTATTAAGCAAATTGAAGTAATCCTCTTGTAAGTTTTAAGGCCCTATTGTAGGGAGAAAAGGATGGACCTACTGCCTCCCTAATCATTTGTGTAAGGTGACTAATTAGGGGTGTTTCCTTCTAAGAGAACATCTACTTGAGAAGCGAGGAACTAACAGTCTGCATACAAATATGCCAGATCTGTAAAACAGATATGCACATAAAACTCAAAGTCTGAAATAAGGCCGAAGTACAGAAGTTGCGGAACAACTAGACCTTTCCGCCAGAGTTTACAGTCAGTGAATGCTAAGAAAATAGGAGAGCTGTATTTCAGTTAAAAGGATTCATATTTTGTGTTACATTATCTTCTTCTTCTTCTTCGCGTTCACCAGCTGTAAACTCTGGCGGAAGGTTCTGGTTGCTCGTCCACTACTGAACTGCAGTCCTGCTCCAAAACCTGAGTGTTGCGTGTGCATCAGTTTTACAGATCTCATTCTCTTGAATACAGACTGTTGGTTCCTTGCCTCTCCGGCAGATGCACTCCGACTTCAAAGGAAGCTCCCCAATTAGTCGACTCTTACGACATGCTTTTGGGGAGGCAGTGGGTCTATTCTTGTTTTCCCCACAATGGGGCCCCGGAACCCACACGGGGGTGTTACATTATATCCCGAAGGCAAAAACTTTCCCTTTTAAGCTGTGAAGACACTACACACTGAAATGTTCCCCTTTCAGCAAACCAACAAATAATAAATAGCATCTTCTTCCCTACTTTGTGCTAGCAGTGCCAAAAATGGACACTAAGTGGATCACAGGAAGAGAAAATAATCATATTCAAAATTGGCTGTCTCTTAAAGGTTGCCAACAACACAAGAAGGGACAGGTTCACAAAAACCAACATAAGACAAGAGGTTGGAATAAGGTTGTGCCTGAATTATACTAAAAGGCTGAGAATGAAGTGGTTTATCTGTCTAGTAAGAATGCAGCCAGACCAAACTGCATATGAGACCTTCTCTAGCAGAAGGTGATAGGAAGACCAAGAAAGAGATGGATAGATGATGTAGCTAAAACCTGCAAAAAGATGAACAGAACCATCACTCAGGCCATCCGAGAAGTGAAATGGCAATACATAAAACCATGCCACTGGTCTACACCCCAGTAACAGTATGATGACAAAAGGAAAAGATGATTCATCAAGTGCCTTGTTGACTGGTGTGGGCAATCAAATCATGCTTCTCCACGATCCGCGATCCGCAACTGTGTAAATCAGTTCATGTGCTGACACCCTTCCATGCCATGACAAAAGGCTGTCAAGAGTCTTCTCATGCTGTCTTCCTGTATCTCTTTTTTCCACAGATCTTACCAGTGGTCACATGTTCTAGTTTCCCTCTTCTCATAACATGACCAAAAAATGATACCTCTTTCTGATGTTTGTGATAAGTTGTCTTCGAGCACTTGTCTCTTTCAAAACATCTGGGTTGCTCTTCTTAGCTGTCCAAGGAATTCTAAGGATTCTTCTGTAAAACCACATCTCTGAGACCTCAAGATATTGTTTGTTGAATAATTGTCCAGGATTCACAGCCGTATGTTAAAACTGGCTGTATATAGCATGCAAGAAAAAAAGTGATTGTATATATATAAAAACTCTGTAGAAATGCACCTGAAGAGATTCAGAAAAGTATGTAAGGCAATGTATTGTGCAGTGTATTGTTGGTGTCCTCATTATTAAATATATTGCTTATGTTTTAATATGATTCAGAAATGTGATTTTGACAAGAAAGTTGCAGTAGAGACACATCAGGTGATCACAACAATGGAAACACTCAACAGCACCAGGCAGTTCTTTGGGCCAAATGCTCGTCTTTTTAAAATTGTGGAGATGTGTGCCAGCAAAAGACCAGTTAGTATTAATATTTATTTTTAGATAAATTTCTCTGGGGTTCATCTCTTCCATACAATTTCATGCTTTCACAACTAATTCAAGAATACTTTAATATCTAAGTGGTTATTTTTTATGTGTTTCCCAAACCTTTCTTAGTCGCTGCGCCTTTTTTCAATTAAAATTTTTCCACGGCGCCCTAAGTAAAAGTATGACTATTTGTGTGTAAGAGATAAAAAAAATTTTCAACTCACGTATTTTCGAATATTTTGCGGCGCCCCTATGAAGAGGCCACGGCTCGCCAGGGCGCACAGTTTGGGAATCACTGGTTTAGGTATGTCTGGACAGTGTATTAGTATCTGTATTTATATCATACTTGTCCATGTATAAGACAAGCCCTATCTATTTGTTGGGTCCATGGTTGAGAAATAAATATTTCAAACACATTCTCTGTATAAGGAAATGGTCATGTGATGTTCTATGGACAACAGGATTGTTAGAGCTGATTTTCCAAGCCTTAAAATAAATGGCAGGGACATCAAAAGAGACAGCAGACTGCGGTACCTAGTACCTGGGAATCACAGAAGCTTGTCTTTCAAGGATCACATAGAGGAAGTTGTGACAAAGGCTACAAAAGGTCTTATTGATGCACTAAAGATTATAGCAGCAATGGACATAGAGTAGAGAATGCTGTTCACACTATACAAGCACTTAATCATCTCAGTGATTGATTATGGACTGGGGTTACTCACAGTCTCGAAGAGTCAATTAGAGCACATACATAATGAAGCTATGCGGCTGATCCTGGGATGTACAAGAGACACCCCAATTGTGTGCATGCAATACATCCTTGCATTGCCGACTATTGCAGATAGGCTAAAGGTGCTGCAGGCTAAGGCATACCTCAGACAAAGAGCACCCTCTGTATGAAGCTTTGGTTGCAGGTAAGGGTCGGAGGCTGAAAAGGGGAAAATCATGGATGGCTCAAGCAGAAGACACAATAAGACAAGTATGCATGCTGGAGAATATTTGGCGAGGAGAGGAGTGGGTCATAGTACCAGAGGGAAAGTCTGATCTTTGTAGATTTATGATCACATTAGGCCGGGAGTGCAGAGAGTGGCCAGTGGGTGCTACAGAGGTGGAAGTCCAACAGTTAATTCACGACAATTCACACCCAGATGATCTGATTATCTATAAAAATGGTTCCGTGTTGAGAGGGAAGAGAAGTGCCTGGTGGTTTGTAGCGAAAGCCAATGGAATATCTTTAGTACAGGACAGCACAGCATACAATACCACAACATCTAGCATTAGAATGGAGGTGGAGGCGGTCACTGCAGCTTTCCAGTGGCTAGAGAACAAGATGCATACACATATCGTAATTGTAACAGACTCTGAAAGCATACGGAAAAAGGTGAAGACAGGGATGCTTTGAGCAGTGGCAAGCTTCACGGGTGGTGAGTATACTTTGGATCGTTTCTCCAGGCTATGCCGGAATGGTAGAGAATAAACAGGCAGACAGATTGGCTGGATCTGCATCACTGGGTGGTGAATTGATACATAAAAAGGCAGATGTGGTCAAGGCCCTTGGGGAACATGTAACGAAGTCAGAAAAGAAACAAGTTTGCTATGGCCTAGAAAGAATGATGCACCGAGGTGTAACTAGACTGTCTGGCCGACTCACTACACTCAGAGGAAAGGCAAGACGGACTAATATAACCAGATTACAGCCGGCACCATTAGTATTGGAACTCTGCGCTGGCTGTTGAAGATGAGGACGGAGCACGTATGGGAATGCCCAGAGTGCTGTGATGTCAATTCTTGACTCAACTCAATGCTGTATAAAACAACCCCCAATTTTCAACTTTTCTCTACCATATACATACAAAATTATGATATTTATACGTGTATTTATTTTATAAATGGCATTTTTAGACAGTATTTTTACATATCTGTTTATAATTTCACATGCTCAGTGTCACAGTAAGATAGTGTTTTTAAATGCTTAAGGTAGCTGTCAGAAGTGCTAACTGCTAACACTGACTGTGTTGTACTGTCAGTCATTTCTGATACAGATCTTCTTCTCTGCCAGGATGTCAGAACGTCCAGCTTCTCATTCCAGCTCTCTTTCTATTTAACTTTCTTGCTTTTACAGCATTCCCCCAGTAATCAGTTCTCTTTGTGAGTTAGCTGCTTTCAAGACACCTTTACTATATCTTTTATCTTTCCAAGGTTTTTTCTCTTTCTGTAAAGCCTCATCTACACTGCTTCTATGTGATGATCCACTAATCGGCTAAAAGATTATGATTTACTTCTTTACACCAGGACTGGCATTGCTTGAAACAGAATAAGTAAATTGAAGCACACTGAGAAGAGAATAGACTGCCCCCTAATAAGCATGTCATAAAAGGCGACTAATCTGGAGTTTGAAATTGGATGTCTTGGACAGAAAGGTGCAAATATCGCAGCCCAACAGGAAACCACAACATATTTTAGCAACCATCCCTCAAAGCGTGAATGCAGAATAAGAAGAAGCACATTGTGCTAATTTAAGACTGTACGTAATCCCTGTGAATGTTCATTTGAAAATGAATAACTACAGCTAACTTAAACAAAATGGAAACTTTTTTTTGTTTCAGACCAGTTCTGTGTGTGCTTTGATGGACTACCACACACAGTTCATCCACCCAGGACAGGAGAACTGGATTGGAGCTCTGAACAGCCTCATGGAAAAATATCTCAAGTAAAATATTTGTTTTCTTTATTTTTTCCAAATAAAGTTTTATGTGCCTCTGGCGTGTAAAGACTGTCAAATCACTCTTTTTTTGTTAATTTTTATGTACAAATAATTTTTTTTTAGTTTAGGGAAAATGCAAACTGAGCAAAGGATTAACTGCCTTGCTTCCCTTTAACATAATAATTGTGGATTTGTTGACTTAGCCACAGTAAGCAAAATAATGTCTCATGAGATTATGACGTAACAATAACAAATATATAAAAAAAATTGATTTGTTTTCCAAACCCGTAATTATATCTATGTTTTCATAGTCTTGCTCACCATGTCTATACACTGTAAAGTTACAGCAACTACCAAAACTGTTATATAGGCATAGTGGTAACTGCAAAAAGATTTCATGTCATAAAACCCCATAAATATAAGAAAAAAAACCTGGCTAATTTGGGGCAACAAGGTTAAAAAGTAAAAGAGCAGCTAATTCAGGGTTTGCTGAAATCATATGTATTAGGCTTATTAGCCCGGCTTTAAACCACAGAACAGTGTGCCAACTACCCCTTCGAGGTAAATGCAGAAGAAGAAATATAACCAACATATATGCTCACATAATGCTGACCACATTACCCACCCAGTGCTGATGGTCTGTAAAAATATAGGCGCTCCCAGGTCGACCCAGCCTTGAGTGGGTACCGTGTGCAGTCCCGGGAAGTAAAGGCGGCTGGCGTAATGATGACCACATCACCCATCTTGTGCCGATTGGTCTATAAAAATATAGGTGTAGCCCTATATGCCCTATACGACTAAAGGCGTGGAAAAGGGACCTTTGCTATTTTTTAAATGTGCTCACAGCTTGACAAAACATTTCCCTACTGACCCAAGGTCTTAGGTTCAAATCTGCATCAAGCTGGATTTTTCACCGGAAATCACCCTGGCTTCCAGGCCGACCCAGCTAAAATATGGGCACCTGATGATGATCTGGGTAATTAAGATGACGGTATGATGTTGACCACATCACCCGTTGAGTGTTGATTGGTCTATAAAATATATGTATGATGCTATATGCCCTTTGCACCAAAGGTGTGTAAATGGTCCTCTACTTTCTTTCAACTTGGAAAATACAGCTGGCAGTGAGAACACACTTGCAGTTGAAAAGCATACAATCTTTAAATCTGCCAAAATGGTTTTTTTTAAAAACTGTAGTTGTAATGTTTACTTCTATACAAAGATCGGGAATTTCTAAGTTTGCTCAAGGTACTGCTTTTTTTTTTTTTTTAAGTCAATAAAAACATTTTTTTAGAGCATTACTTGGCTGAATTCATGCCTGTGTGCCCAAATTGTGACCACTTAAAAAATAAAGTTAAGCCTACCGCATTCCTGAAACAGTTTTCTTTGCTTCTCAGGGGCCAGACAAGAACTGAAGTGAGGAAGAAAGCCCTGGATGTGTTGAATCATGTACTCAGTATTAACACTCATGTGTATGAGGTGAGTACTGACCACACTACTATCATTCTTGTTATTTTAATGACAAAGACAGATGTTCTCAGTATATTTTCCTCTTTTTGGTACCTGATAACCCATGATAACTTAGAATAAGTAACTGTGATATCACATAAGTAACATTACAGGGTAAGAAACATTAAGAACAACTAAAATAATGTCTAATAAAGTAAATTTATTAACAAGTGCCCATGCAGAATAGAAGGAATAAAAGGACATTGCAAAATAAAAAATAATGTGTAGCTTATTGACAGAACTAAGCAAATTCTAGTGAATAAAAAGATGCTACAGAGTTCCTGATTTGTGCAACACTCTTGGTGGGCAGCTAATTGCTCTGTAGAGAGAAGCAAGCCACACAGGATCAAACCTAGTGCAGTGAAGTTGATCCTCTTGACTACAACTTTCACTGCACCTGTGTAATGTTCCTTATTATGTCAGTTATTTATATTGCTCCTTTTCTTTTGTTTTTTCTACTTCAGAAGGAGCTGATTGAATGGGTTGTCATTCCCCATTTCACTAATTTTGATGCCGATCCTGATTCTGAAGTAAGATGCAAGGCAGTTGAACTTTTGCTTTGGCTGTGCGAAGATTGCCATTCCAATGAGTTCTTTGAACTTACTGTTATTGTTGAAAAGGTGAGTACTTCTGAAATTTTAAATTTTGAACAGCAAAAAAAAAAATTTGTTGTATCTTACACGTAAACAGTAGCTGTTGTAACAGGGAGACATCATCACTTGTCTGTTAGGAGGTAGGTTATTGCGCAGCGTTGGGACGTACCGGAATCAATAAGTTTTGATAACCTTGACATTCTCTTTTCTAGAACAATCCATTGTTTTTAACAGGGAAATATTTTGCAAATGAATAACCTATAAATAGTATTTGACATCATTGTTGATGTGCCCTTTCAGAGAGAACGTAGTAGTACTTGTTTTTAGGAGTCTTTATGAGGTCAGCTGTCAATTTAAATACTATATTTGCGCAGAATAAGATGATGAAATCTGATGCAATTGAGATATAATTAGAAAATCCCACGTGAGAACGCACATAGTAAACATGTTGAGGCGTACTAGAAATTTATAGAAGAGAAGAAAACAAACAACTAGCATTCCAGCATCCAAGTATAAAAAAATGAGTGAGAAATCATTTTGATCAATCCTTCAGTCGTTGAGACAGTAGACGAGGGACTAGTAATATTGACCCTCAAAGAAAGCCTTCAGTCTTCAGCCGTTGTGACTCAGAGGACGAGCAACTAGACCCTTGCAGTTGTGGAGATGCCAACTCAACACTAGAAGGAGAGGAGCCAGTCGCATGGAGCCTCAAAGATAGACACTAGATACGAGACGTGAAAAAAGACATCAAGCTACAGAGACAAGATACATGAATCCATGGTTAACAAAGACTTATTAGATAGGAACACTATAGAGAGCCGACTATCAAGCCGTTAGTACCAGACAGCATTAGAAGCCAGGTGGCAGTTACAGACACTAGAATCAGTTAACAAAGTAACTAGAGATGAAAAATATAATGTGACCTCAAGATTATGTAGCCAAGGGAGAACACAGCGCCATTCATAATATCATTGATATTGTTTGTGACATTGCTGAAGTATCACAATAAAGACAGTACACTGAAAAGAAGAGCTGTTTCCAGACATTTTATTACACAAGCATCAGTGACGTGAGAAGCATGCAGCAAGTAAGACATCATCATCATCATCAACACTATCAGCACCACCACCTTTCACCTCATCTATAATCTTCAATCGACTCCTCCTGTAGCTAAACTAAAGACGGACCTGGGTGTGACATCGACGTATGCAACGAAGAACACAGCTGTGCTACACTGTTGGTCACACTTGATAGTATTACAGCGTTGTCTGGTATAACCCAAACTGTGGGTTAAACAGGGTTTCTGGGACCTGTCTCCGGGGTTGTCCTCATCTGCACGGAGGCACTTTGTGTCACCCGATGTTTGTCGCTTGTGTGATGTCCTGGTGGGGTTGAACGCCAATCAGTCAGACAGAAAGGAGAAAGGGGTCAACAACAACTGTTGCCCTGTCACCTCCAACATTTGCTGTGTGTCCTGCGGGGACTGGAAAAGGCAAAAATGAATGCTTGCTGTCATAAATAGTCCTCTGTAGGTTGCTGCTGATTTGCAGATAAAAAGTAAATATAGTGTTATATCTAGGACGATTTTCATTACCACTTAGGGATTGTAATGAAGATGGTTAGAGAATGTAGCAAAATTAGTATAACTGGATAGAGAGTAGAGCTTGCATCAGAAGGAGTTCTTGATCAACATTATTTATAGACGAAAGGCCAAGTAGTAAACTTATAGCCAAAGATAGTTAAGGAACTAAGAATGGCTTAGCACAAGAAAACGTGAAATGCAAAGAAGGTGAAATTCACATGAAAATATTTATGGAATTGAATATGTGGAGAGGAAGTAGTTCAGTGGATAGAAAGTAAGATCATTCTATGTTTTGGTGCTGGAGTGAATGGATGCAGTGTGAAAGCGGGCAAGACTGGGGCCTTGGGTATTTCCAAGCAGCCAACAGTGGTCACAAGACCCTGGCCATATTTGTGAAGATAGGAACCTGACTGAATGCAGGTCAACTATGCTGGGTGAAAACATTTGCTTGCAAATGAATCTGTCAACATTGATCCCATAGCGTTGTATGTGTGTAGTACAAAGCCATGTCAGTAAATAACTATAGTGTTTGCTTCCATCTGTGTCTCCTTCCTATAAATGCCTCTTAACTATAATTTCTGTTGTGGCCTGTCTCTGAGAAGCCTATTTGACAGCATTGGAGTCGGTTTACACCTGCACAGTTTTTAGAAGACCCTGATATGAATGTCTGTCCTCAATAGCATGTCCTTTGCAGAACCTTGCTCCCATAACAACCCTCCGAAAACTTCTCAATCATAAGCAAGATGTCCCGCATCCGATACACCCATCTGGAGATCATCTGCCACATCCTGCACCCATCTTCTCTTTGGCCTTCCTCTTCCACTCTTCCCAGGCATAAACCCCTGCATAATTTTTTCTCTCTTGTTTAGTAAGTGTCCAGGTCTCACTCGCGTATGTTAGAATGGGAAAGATGCATGCTCTTAGAAATCTAATTTTTTTGTAGTTTTTTCTGTCACACTGCATAATTTATTCAGTTATTTTAGTCTTTGAAGAGCAATTGATAGTCATCATTTAATTTCTTTCATTTTTTCACCATGTTGGTAATCAATAACCCTAGATATTCTAAATTAGCCACAACCTCCAATCTTTCCTCATTAACACATATTTCTTTCTCCATTTTAGTTTTATCTGTATGCATTATCTTTGTTTTTGCTATGTTAAGTTGGGAATTTCACTATTTCTTTGGGTTGAGATTATTAAGTTTTCTATACCAGTCTGTAATGTGGATAGCAATACTGTATCATCAGCATAACAGATCTGTGGTATTTCCTGACCATGATATGAATATATTTACTACTAAAACTAGACTGGGGGGATGGGAGGTCCTTGTGTTCAGAATGACTTTTAAAAATCTGTTTTGATGTCATAATTTGCCTGTAGCTTTAGTGTTAGAATTCTGACGTCACGTGGTCACTGCGTTAGCTGTGAAACTGTGTTCCACCTTATACCACTGATGCTCACCTTAGATGTGTCAGGAAATTTAAAGTTAAGGCCCTGATTCACACCTCTGGTGTATCAGGCACATAGTGCTAGACCTTATATTTTTTTATAGACCAATGAGCACTTGGTGGTTTATGTGGTCAGCATCACACCGACCACCTTTCCTTCCTAGGACATTACCTGGTACCCATTTTGCACTGGGTCAATCTGAGAGTCAGGGTGCATTTTTGGAGAGAAAAAAATCTGCCTTGAATCAAAGCCTATACCTTTGGGCTGGCATTCGAGTTATCTATCTCTATACAATAGAGTGGCTTCCCTTAGAAATGTAGCTACAGTTTAATTTATTTCATTGCAGCTAAACAGATCTAATTATTTGCTATTCATAAGATATGGAATGGTTCCAGCCTGTTATAATTAACTGTCCCCAGATCATCAAGAAGCCTGTGATTGGGTTAGCCCCTGAGACAGATCGGAGAGATGAAATGGGGTTGTTGCGTGATGAGAGAAACCTGCAAGACATCCGTGTTGCCATTGGCAAAATTATTGAGGTGTTCAAGGTAAATCATATGTTAAAATCTCATTGTGACTAGTTAGTAGACATAGCATATGGTTTATAATATGGCTTACGTTTCGTTAATGTTAGAAATAAATGAACATATTTGATTAACACCTTAAGGAGACATAGAATTGATGTATAAATTATAAGAAGCAGTTGGTGACAGAAACACTGAAAAAAATGTTCAAATTCATATTTAAATATGTTGCCTCTGTTATATGTTCTTGTAAATCCTCAATGTTTATCAGATTCCAATTTCCACAGAGGGCAGTTTAAAAAAAAAAGACGGCACTTATGGCTTTTTAAAAAGTAGAATGAGAGACACACTGGAGAAGAGATAGGAGCATCACCGTATATTATACTCATAGTTAGCAGGCGATACCTTGCAGGCAACCTCCATTGTGAAGATAGCACAATAAATAAATATATGTTAATGGGATTCTGTTGTAATGCATAGAGGTCTCCGTAGGAAAGTGGTCAAGCCGTTTGCCTCGTGCTCTGAAGGTCGTAGGTTCGTTTCACGGCTGCTTTGTTTTTTATGGAGATCATTGGGGAACTACAGAGTTTTTGCTCTTTGCGATGCTCTTGGCAGGCGGCTAGCCATTCTTTGGAGAGAGACCGAGCTGTATGGGATGTAACCCGGTGCACTGAAGTCGATCCTCTCAACTTTTAATGTGACTAGATACAATCAGATATGCCAGGCAATAATTTAGCAATATTATGTTGGTGTCTGCATTATTTAAACTTTAATAAATTTATTATAACATTTTTCTGCAGGTGATGCTGGTATGCTGGGAAATGAATAGGCAGATAGATAGACCAGCTGGTTCTGCACCATTTGGTGTTTAATTGATGCAAGCAAGCTAGATGTTATAAGGGTCGTTTGGGAGTGGGTTAACAGTGCGGGGAGGTGGGGGGGGGGGGCAGGGCAATTCTGTGCTTGCTGCTTAAGGTGGAAAAGGAATGCTTTTATGAATGTCCCGAGGGCTGTGATGTCGATTCTTAATTCAACATTTGTTATAATAAACTACTGAGTTTATTTCTTTGTAGTTTGAAAGGCAGCCTCAGGCATGTTTACATTTATTGAACAATTAGTGAACTATTTTTCTTAGGTGAAGCTGTACACAGCACCTGCATCCCACTGTCAGTTGAACAATTAGTGAACTATTATTCTTAGGTGAAGCTGTACACAGCACCTGCATCCCACTGTCAGAGGCTTTATGAGCTGTTGACATCGCACCTGGAGCTCCACTACTCACACCTGTACCTCGGCCCCACAGCTTGTCAGATACGCAAATCAGTAAGATGAGACTTTCCTCATTGTTAAGTCCCTTGCTATATTGCAAAGACTTACATATCTCTTCTTCTTCTGCTCCTTTCCTCCCTCTCCTTCTTCTCCTTTTTTTCCTCCTCTTCCTTCTAATCCTTCTCCTCCTGTTTCTTCTTCTTCCTTCTCCTCCTCCCTTTGCCTGCCCCCCCATTAGAGTATGTGTCCTCAACCAACTCACGTCAAGCAATTCTACCTTTTGCTGTCACATGCACCTCATCCTTTATCCTCTCCATCTTTTTAACTTCACTATCTGGTTCCAGTCTCCAAGTGTTTTTGGTTTTGCTTTTATTTCTATGACCTTGTGGGTTCCATTGTAAGGACATTCTGGTTATACTGTAATCTACCATCCCACCTGTGTTGTAATGGGGCCTGTTAGGGAAGGAAAAGATTTTAGCACTGTAATCTACCATGCTGCCCTTGTGATAATGGGGCCTTTAAGGAAGGGAAAGATGTTAACACTATAATTTACCATACCATCTGTGTGATAATGGGGCCTGTAAGGGAAGGAACGGAAGTTAACACTGTAAAATACCATGCAGCTCGTGGGATAATATGACCTGTAGGGGAAGGAAAGGAAGTTAACACTGTAAACTACCATGCCACCTGCGGGATAATGGGGCTTGAAAGGAAAGCATGTTAACTGTAATGTGCCATGCCTTGTATGTGTTTCTAGGGTTTATAGAGGCAGGAAAGCGTGTTAATTGTCATCTGTTTGTGTGTTACCAGGCCTAATAAGCAAAAGAAAGAGTAGTTAACCACCAACCACCCCCAACCCTTTTCCACTTTTCCATCCAGTATAAAAATTAAAAGTAAACAGTCATTTGTTTAAAAAAGGTTAAAAGACAGTTTTTAAAATCTAAAAGGCTTTTAGGTATAAATGACCGGAGGTTGACTCTATTGAGGAAAGGGTATCATAAGAGGCAGTTAGGGAGGTTTGATGTGAGATTGGCTACCTCATCTCATGGAAACTGTAAACTACTATGCCACCCGTGGGATAATGGGGCTTGAAAGGAAAGCACTATAACTGTCATCTACCATGCCTCGCATATGTTTCTAGTGTTTATAGAGGCAGGAAAGAATGTTAATTGTCACCTACCTGTGTGTTACCAGGCCCCATAAGCAAAAGAAATTGTAGTTAACCCCCCCCCCCCCCCCCCCAATCCTCCCGCCCCACTTTTCCGTCCAGTATAAAAATTAAAAATAAACACTCATTTCTTTAAAAAGGTAAAAGGCAGTTTTTTAAACATCTTGGAAAAGAAAGTTTTTTTTTGAAGGTATAAATGACTGTAGGTTGACTCTTTTGAGGAAAGGGTGTCTTAAAAGGCAATTTGGGAGGTTTGATGGGAGTCTGACTACCTCATCCCATAGAAATCTGCAATTGCAGTCTTCGATTAGTCATGAATAAATCTCAAAAAGCACATGGTATAAGTCATTGATGGGCCTGCACTGTTTTGGGAGAAAAATGGCAGAGAAAGAGATGATGTATGTGTTTTCTATATTTTAAACTTGTTTCCCTCTGTTTCTACAAGTTCACTGTATTTAAAAAAAAAATTATTATTACAACAAAGTTCCACAAACTTGAGATTTACCTCATTAAAATTAAAAACGCTGCCCGTAGCACAATGCATGTAGTAAAATAAAAAAAATTAAATGAAATAACAAAAATTTAAAGTCGGATAAGCATGTTTTGAAAAGTAAATTAGTATTCTTGTGATTAGGACATGCTGCTTTCAAAATTCTTCAGTCGTCCATCTCTCTAAAGGCATTAGCAATGTTGGCGCGCGACATGGCATCGATCCATTTTCTAAAATACACATTTCATTCACTGGATGTCTGTTGTAGTTAGCTTTGTATCCTTTATAATTTGTTTGATTGCAGATATTTGGTTTGCTAATACTTTTGAGAGCAGACAGTCGCTCCAGGGTTGGACTGGCTGATAGAAAACCAGGAGAGCGGCATGTTTACAGCCCTTACACCTTGTGCAAACCCAGGTAAACATATCCAAGAAGTTGTGTGTTAGAGCATTTGTCTCATTCTTCAAGGTGACCGGCTGTAAACTCCCGTGGAAAGTTCTGGTTGTTCGTCCACTTCTGGACTTTTAGTCTTGTACCAGAACTTGAGTTTTACCTGCAAATCCATTTGACAGATCTGTCTTATTTTTATGCAGACTGTTGGTTCCTCGTCTGTCAGGCAGATGCACACTGACTTTGAAAGAAACATGCCTAATTATTTGCCCTTTATGACATGCTTTTTGATGGGGCTATGTGCTTTTTGATGGGGCTGTGCGCCTTTCTCTCCATTCCACCCCCCCCCCCAAAAAAAAAATCCCACACAAGCAAGTGTTAGTGTAATATTTTATGATTGTTGTCATATTAATTTTATTATTTCTGTTTACTTCTTTTGTGTGTGTATAAACTCTACTGATAGGATCGGAAGGTCGTGGGTTCGCTCCCTGGCAGAGACGGACTATTTTCAAAAATGACCTTGGCTCCCAGGTTGACCCAGCCTTGAGTGGGTACCGGGTGCAGTCCCGGGAAGTAGAGCTGGCCGGCGTGATGCTGACAACATCACCCATCTTGTGCCGATTGGTCTATAAAAATATAGGTCTAGCCCTATATGCCCTATACGCCTGAAGGCGTGGAAAAGGGTCCTTTACTTTTTTTACTTACTTTTAAGAAACCAGTAAACATGGCTATATATAGTTCTTATTCTAATAGTAAAATATACAAAGGCTGTAAGCTTATGGAGTAGGGAATTACAGTTAGAGATAAGTCTTGTAGGAAATACTTTAACAACAAAATGAAAACAACCTGACGTAACAGTCTCTTATCAACAGAAGTAGAGAATAATCAAATCAATCAGAAAGCCACCAAAACTGGCAACAGATGATTACCATGTAATGGACAGACCAGAGCTTTCTAAGTAATTATTCTTCACCTTAAAACAGGTCACAATCGATTTTGCAGCCACATGTACACAACATTTAAGGTTGGTGAATCAGCCATGCGTACATATGGATTAGCACCTGAGACAACAGATTACCACCTTCAAGACTGTCCCAAATACAACGTATCAAAGCAAAACTTTTTGTCTTTCATTTGTCAGTATCTGCTTATGCCGCTAGGTGTTGCAGCTCATCAGACAATCAGCAGCCGAGCCAGGGCATGCTCAGTTGCTTGATATGCCATGATGTTATGCAGTCTCAAGGTGTAAGTGACTCCTTCAATTCTTCTTCTTGGTCTTCCCCTGCCTCTTGTTGTTTCAATTTTCAGGTTGTACGCTCTTGCTGCTGGCATTGTTGGTTTCGAACAAACGAACAAACTTTATTTTCATTCTCATTAGATGGCCAAACCATTTTATTCTTTGTTTTTCAACATATTTGACGATAGATGTTGTTCCAACTGTTCTTGTGATCACGTCATTTCCAACTCGATCTCTTCTGTTTTTTTTCCCAGCCCTTCTCAAACATCTCATCTCACAGGTGGTTAGATTTCTTTTGTCAATGTCCAAGTCTGACATTGGTAACCTAAGGTCCATAAAAATATTGTATTTATAATTTTTCTTTTGTCTCTATTGGGATAGCAGGGTGTTTTTAAATTAGGGCAAGTTGGTACATGACAGTGTTGGCTTGTTGGAATCTCTTTTTTTTATCTCTCTGTCTGTTTTACCAATGTGTGTAAAGATGCTTCCCAAGTATTTAAATTCTTGCACTTGTTAGACTTTGATCTTTGATCTTTATGTCGATGGTTTGTTGCTCTTTTCTTATTCTCATGACTTCTGTTTTTTCAATATTGATCTTCATGTGATGTTTAAGGCAACTGTCATGTAGTTGGTTTATGTGGTCCTGCAGCTGTTTACTTTCACTCTGGAATATACATTGATCGTTGGCAAAAAGCAGCTCCTTGAAGTCCTCTTGTTTATCAACATGTGGTGGTGTTATGTCTATTTTATTAATATTGTCCATGAATGTTATAAAAAGTAAAGGTGAAAGAACACACTTTTGCCTTACTCCTGATGTTACTGGGAACCAGTCTGTGAGGACAGCAACACGTTTGGTTAAGAGAAACACAGGTGCAAGCCAAACTTTACGGGTAGCTGATTGAATTACAACAGTGAAGTTCAGACTAGAGACAACATTGCAGATATAGATAATCGATTTTAAGCAAATGAAAGAAGAAGAAGAACTTCAGCAACATCAGTATAATTAAAATATCTTGATTTTCTCAGTGATGATTTGGAGTCACTAGCACAGAAAAGTCCTTCCATTCCAGGCCTAACATTAAGCCAGGTCTACGCAGTCATTGAGTATAAGCACACATTCAAAATGTTCCTTCGGTGTCTTGACACAGTAAGTTCCTCTTTGTTTTATTTTCAGTGTTTATTGTTTTATAGAACCAGGATAAATTTAAAAGAAAACAAAAACAGTAAAGGACCCTTTCCGTTTCTTTAAGCGTAGTTGGCATAATGGGCAAGACCTATACTTTATAGACCAATTAGCACTTGGTGGGTGATATGGTTAGCATCACAAGGGCCGTTCCAGGATATTGTAGACATAATGGGATGTAGAAATGCTGAACCCCACAGCGTACCCATATCAAGGCTCACACTGGTCAAGATCTATCTACCCTTTCCTAGAAACAGGTTCTAAACTGGAGACATGGCCAGTGAACATATTTCCTTCAAAGACAGAGTGCATCTTCCTTAGAGGTGAGAAATCAACACTCTCCACGCATAAACCAGATCTGTAAAATGGATGTCTACACAAAACTCAAGTCCCAGGACAAGACCAAAGCCCAGAAATCTTCTTTCTTTGCGTTAACCAGCTGAAAACTTCATCAGAAAGTTATGGTTGTTGATCCACTTCCTGACTTTTGTCTCGTTCCAGAACTTGAATTTTATGTGCATTTCTTTATTTTTTTTTTTTTTTATAGAGATCTGGCTTATCTGTAAGTAGACTGCTTGTTCCTTGCCTCTTAGCAAACGCCCCTAATTAGCCAACTTTTACAACATGCTTGTTGGGGGCGGTGGGTCTATCCCCCCTCCCCCCCCACCCCCTCAAATGGGGCCCTGGAACCCACACAGAGAAGAAGGTCAGAAGTGGTCGAACAGCCGTGAATTTATACTGATCCATTTCTGTAGATTGTTTACAATTATAAACAATTCTCAGAGAACAGAGATGTCATTGAATAGCAACTGATAAGATGTCTTAGAAAGCTGCCAGAGTAACAAGCAGAGAAGATGAAAAAATACAGTAATTAGAAGAAGAATAGGACTGAAACCAATTATAAAGTCCATTAGAGTTATGTTCATCTACTGTGTTATTTGGTGCAAAATGACTATAGGTAAAAAAAAAAAAAAAAAAAAAATTTTTTTTCAGTAGGTGAGATACACATTTTGGAAAATAAACACTTGTTGATATGTTTCCTTGGAGGCTGCCTCTTTTATACAAAGGGTGTGTGCCAGTAGGCATATTTATCATCAGAACATATCCTCTTTGAGGAAGGATGTTTCTAACTACCTCTTATGTCTTTCTCTACCACACACACACACGCATACACGCATGTACGCATGCATACAGAATGTAAAGGTATTTTTCAAAGCGTGAGGTGTATTGGGTGCATGGTAAAGTGAAAGCAAAAATATGCATCTTGAAGAAGACTGCCCCCTAATGCTGAGTTCTCCCTGAGCCACATATTCTACCTTGGTGGAACTTCATACCTTCTTTTACAGCCTTCAGACAAAAGAGTTGACAAATTCTTTGTATTATTTTCAGAATGTATAAATAATGTATCATCTCCCTCTATGATAACATTTTCTACATATAGAGGGTTTGCAGTAAATCTAAACCTTGACTGTAAACAGACTGTTGAGGAGAACTTTCATTTTGTTTAGTATTTATTCCTTTTCAGTATAGCTACCATTTGTTAATTGGCACTTATGCTATTCTTGCTTGATCTTGAAAAGATTTTAAAGAGTAGAAGACCAAAAAAAAAAAAAAAATAGTTATCACATACAAGTTTGACTTATTCAATATATTCAGAAGAGAGAGGCTGAAGAGGGGGGGACAGGGGGTTAAAACCAGGTGCAGTCAAGTTGATCCTCTGATCTTTAATCACTACAACAGTAGAGTACTCCCACTTTAACTTCAGTGCCACTTTGGCTCCGTTTTGTTTTGCATTTCATAATAATTTTGTTAACTCTTTTAGTTTCATATGGTTTCAGAGTAGAAACCCAATTTGACACAATAATCACAGTGAAACAGGCACCAGTATATGACTTTTAAAGATACATCCTATACTGTGCTGCATTTAAAATATTTGGCCATATTTCTTTTGCATATCTAGACCAAACATGAAAGGAATAATAAAACACAGTGTGTTGCATTGATAAACATATACATTTGCTTCACACACACAGTGCATTGTTTGGGACACAAAGAGTAATATGATTACATCAAATGTTATTACTCTGAAGGAGAGGGATTGGACAGTGCTACAGATGGTTCTGGAGAATCTGCCACTGATTCTGGAGAACAAGACACTGGTTTTGACCGCCGACAGCCATCTCATTGATGCCTTGTGTGAGAAGCTCTGTGCAATGGTTTGTACAACCTTATCCTCATTTCTGTGCTATGGTTTGTACAACCTTATCCTCATTTCTGTGCTATGGTTTGTACAACCTTATCCTCATTTCTGTGCTATGGTTTGTACAACCTTATTCTCATTTCTGTGCTATGGTTTGTACAACCTCATTCCCATTGTTTAATCATTTGATTTCATTGATATTCATGTGGCCAGGTGATGTTTCCTATTGATACCTATGGATATGCCCGGCTCACTAGCGTAGTTGGCTAAACTGGATTGCGCGGTGACCAGGTGACGAACTCCTTGTGGTCCGGGTTCACGCCCAGGGGTAGGCAGAAAAGCCACATTTCTCCCAGATTTACGGTATTTATCATGGAATCCATAATACCGAGCCTAAGGGTTAACAACTCATGGCTTCTGGATACTAAAAAAAAAAAAAAAAAAGAAAATACCTATGGATATGACAGAAGGAAATGTAAAGCTTGCTGTTATGTCTGTCAGGTGTTGTCTGTAACTTTTTGCCACTACTTCTGATTTTTTTAATTTCTGATTTTTATTTTATTCTAAGAGCTTGTTTAAAAGTTAAAGGTAAAGGATCCTTTTCCACGCCTTCAAGCATATTGGGCGTATAGGGCTAGGCCTGTATTTTATAAAACCCATTTAAGGCTGGGTCGACCTGAGAGCCAAGGTTCTGGTTCGGGGGCGAGCTGCTACACCACAGCGGACCCAAGAACTTGTTTAATTGTACATATACGACCACCATAGTCTTTGTTATCTGTACAGAGCCGCAGTGGCACATTGGTTAATTCACATGCTTACTGACCAAGTTTCAGAAAGCAGTGGAGACTTCTGAACATAGGTATTGCCTGTTGAAAGCACAAACCATCGAAAAAATACATGGATTGGTTCTAAAGAATAGGCAGGTAGCTTTAACCAACCAAATGATTCAGGTTTTTTGCTTTTTTTTTTACCTTCTAATAGTCCAAGTCGTGTGGTCTTGGTAGTCTTGTCTCTCTACAACCTTCTGTATCATGTATTTTCTGTGAGTTCTGAGTCTCATGTACTTTCAGTGAGTTCTGACACAAATGATACTTCCATATCATGATGTCAAAGTGTCCAACATCTCATACAGAATTATACTGTATAGTGATAGAATGTTTTCCCAACTGGTAAAGCTTAGAACATTGGTTCTCAACCTACGGACTGCGACCCTTTCCTAGGGGTCGCCTAAGACCATCCGAAAACACATATTGACTGAAGTTATGACGTAGCAAAAAAATAATTTTGTGCTTGAGAGTCGCCACAATATGAGGAATTGTGTTAAAGGTTCGCAGCATTAGCAAGGTTGAAAACCACTGGCTTAGAGATTAATATGAAGGTTGAAGAAGTTGTTTTGCAGTTATTGCTATTGAGCTATGAAATATTAGGCCTTTGCATTCTAGATCATGGTATAATGAGGTTGTATGGCCAGTTCCCCCCCTTGCTTTTTCTATACAGAGTCTAAAGTTTTCTTAAACATGTCTGGCTTATTTACTATGCCGAATGTTGGTTCCTTGCCCCTCAGGCACATGCACTCCAACGTTGAAGGAGACAGCCCTAATTAGTCACCTCCTCTGAACCAGAAACAACATTCTGCATACAAATAAACCAGATCTGTAAAATGGATGTGCACGCTAAACTCCATTTCTGGAACAGAACTAAAGCCCAGAAATGGACAGACAGTCTGAACTTTCCATTGGAATTTACAGCTGGTGAACGCGAAAAAAAAGAAGAATTGAAAAAAAAAAAAAAAAAAAAAAAAACCACTTTTTGCTCCGAGAAGCCACAAAACCAACACTTCTGGTCCAGTTCTGGTAAATATCAGTTTTCAGACTTGTCTTTAGTTGCCTGTTTATACACAACACATAATTTTTTGCTATTGGCTGTTTTTTGCGCCTGTGGAAACGTTTAGGAGGGCAGGATTTGAGGGTCGTGAATGAGAGTGGGCCGAGTTTCCAGCTTCAAAGCAGATGGGTCTTTTCATATTTCGTCTGCAGGAATGTTGCAACCTCAACAGATCAGCATATGAATACATTGACAAAAAGTATGGGGAAAGGGGGTGGGGTGGGGTGTTATTTTGAGCCAAATTGCTTTTTTTTTAAGAACCAAATTTGGCATATGATTTCCCCTAAGCCTCAGTGTTAGAGGTCATGGGGTCATGGTCTTAGTCACTGGGTACATCTTTTTTAAGGCTGTGGGGAATGTATTCATGTTAATTAATTACTCCTTTCATCTATCTTTATATATTTGGGGGGGGGGGGGGGGAAAATATGTAGATAAATAAATTTGTAACAAATTTATTAGTGACCTGTGTAGAAAATCCTTTTAAAAGGATTTTGTTAGTAATTCCATTGGGGGAACATGATCTATTTTTTAGTTTTTTGCAGGATAAGAGGGTTAATGATCTTTCTGTATTCTTCATCACTTACCTAACATACTTTTGTTTACTAAAATGGGGATGTTTATCTGTAAGCCTTGTTTATCTTGTTCAGGTTAGAGATCGTTCAGTGGAGCACTCAAAAATGCTGATCAACAGACCAGCAAACTTTACCCGCTCAGACTTCCATACATATGTCTTCCCCGTCTTAGCTGCAATGGTAACTTATCATGCTTGCCTGGACAAAGTTCGTTTAGTAAGTATTATGTTTATTTTGTATGGATAGTGATTAATGGTAGTAATTAATGGTATAATCCACTTTTCTGTTCAGCTGAATATCTCTTATTCTTATTGTTCAAATCATGTGACATGGGTTATGATTTCTGTCTACAGCATTTTGTTTGCCTTGTATACTGTCGGTCAATTCTGGTACATATATTCATCCATGCCTTAATGCCAAGCTGTCCAATATCTTTTTTGCTTGGTCTCCATCTGCTTGTCGCAGGTCGACCCAGCCTCAAATGGGTACCAGGATGGGTTGTCCTGGGAAAGTAAAGACGGCCGGCGTAATGCTGACCACATTACCCACCTAGTGCCGATTGGTCTGTAAAAATATGGGTGCTCTTCACATATGCCCGATCCGCCTAAGGGCGTGTAAAAGGATCTTTACTTTTGGGAGTTGCAGTGGCAGAGTGGCTAAACGCACGCCGCGGATCGGAAGGTCGTGGGTTCGCTCCCTGGCAGAGCCAGACTTTTCTTCAAAAAATTACCTTGGCTCCCAGGTCCACCCAGCTTTGAGTGGGTACCGGGTGCAGTCCCGGGAAGTGGAGGCGGCCGGCGTGATACTGACCACATCACCCATCTTGTGCCGTTGGTCTATAAAAATATAGGTCTAACCCTGTATGCCCTATACGCCTAAAGGCATGGAAAAGGGTCCTTTACTTTTTTACTTTTACTTTTACTCCATCTGCTTGTTTTCCCATCTGACTTTTCCATTGTCACGATGTACACAAGTTGTTTTTCCTTCTCATGATATGCCATTCACTGCTTGTCTTCCCATCTGACTTTCTCATTGTTACTATGTACTCCAGTTTTTCCCCTTCTCATGATGTGCCACTCTCTGCTTGTCTTCCCATGTAGCTTTCCCATTGTTACAGTGTACTTCAGTTTTCCACTTCTCATAATGCACCACATTCTGCTTGTCTTCCCATGAAACTTTCCCCGTTGATACAATGAAACGGATCGAACAATTGTCGACGGAGGATCTTCTACTGATGACCGGTAGACTCCTGCTGTATATGCTCCCCTGTGGAGTTTTCTTATTGTACTTCAGTTTTTCCATTTGCATTGTGTACTACCCTCTGCTTGTCTTCCCATTTGACTTCTCATTGTTATAATGTACTTCAGTCTTCCCCTTCTCGTGATGTATCACCCTCTGCTTGTCTTCCCATCTGACTTCTCATTGTTATAATGTACTTTAGTCTTCCCATTCTCATGATTCCCCTGCTCATGATGTATCACCCTCTGCTTGTCTTCCCATCTGACTTCTCATTGTTAAAATGTACTTCAGTCTTTCCCTTCTCATGATGTATCACCCTCTGCTTGCCTTCCCATCTGACTTTCTCATTGTTACAATGTACTCCAATCTTCCCCTTCTGATAATGTACCACACTGTGCATGTCTTCCCATCTGACTTTTCCATTGTTACAATGTACTCCGATCTTCCCCTTCTCATAATGTGCTTAAAGAATGTAGATCTGTTTCTTAATGATACATGTAATCATGTCCCCTTTTAAGTTAATTTATTTCCAGGCAATTCAGACATATCGGTGTGCCTCAAATACAAAAACAGCTAAATGGGAACATTTTGTGAACAAAATTGGAGGGGATAAATCACTGTTGAAGGTTCTAGAAACTACACAGATACAAAGAAAGGATTAGCCTGCACCGGGCCCAGACTGGGTAAGGTATCCACATATGAAAGGCATGAGTTATGAAGATTTGAGGGAGATGGCTTTTCTTTTCAACCAGAGCATCAGAACAGCATCAGAAAATGTTCAGCATCACATTTCTTAAAACACTTTGAGTAAAGAAAATATAGAACATTCAGTGGTTTTTTTTGGTAAATAGTGATGACATATGTTTTTATTCTCCATAGAAAGAACTGGTGAACTGTTTAGAGTTTGGCCTGGTTTCTAAATGTGCCAAGATTTGTGTGACCACACTGCGAATCTGTTCACTGGAGATGAAGGAGTTGATGATGCGTATGCTGCCTTCAGTGCTGTTGAATTTGTCGAAGATATCTGCCACCATCTCCATGGCGATCCCAGTTTTAGCATTCCTGTCAAGTAAGTGCATTTGTTTCATGGGCCAACTTTCTCTCTTCTCTTGTATTGTTGTTTTGTCATGTTAGGTTATTCAGAGCTAGGGCGGGAATGAACTGTTTTGGGCATGTCACTGCACCATAAATTTAGTTTTGTGATTGCTTAAAACTATTCTGAGAAAATTTGAGTGATTTCCTCTGTTTCCACAACAGTGTAAAATAATATACATTATATACCACTATTTTTTGGAGGATGGGGTGGGGGGCATTTTATGCTACCTGTATGAAAGTTGGGCCCTTATTGAGTGCAGAATCACACCAACAGAGAAAAGATGTACTAGAATAACAACAGAAATACTTTGTCTTAGAAAGCTGCCAGAATAACAAGAAAAGAAAAGAAAAAAGAAAAAGTACAGAAATTAGAAGACTAAGACTGAGACTAGCTGTAAAGTTTATTAGAGAGCAACTGGTGAGATGGTTTTGCCATCTGACACAAATGTTATGGTACCGTTTGCCACAGACAGCCACGCTGAAGAAATACACTGAACCCAGAATAAGGGAAAGGCCACTGAAAAGATGGAACAGAAACATAAAGAATTACTTCAGGAAAAAAGAAAAAAAAAAGAATTTCTGCTTATGCAGTGCATAAAAAAAGAGCAAAAAGAAGTTTCCTACAGATGCTCTCAACACCTCAGGTAACTGTAGGAAGAGGAGAAGGAAAATTACAATGTTATGTTGCATGTAGTCTCTCTCTCTTTCTGTGTGTGTGTGTCTGTGTGTGTGTGTCTGTGTGTGTGCGTGCGTGCATGCATGCTTGCGCGTGAGAGAGAATAGTTTGATAATTTTCTCATAAATTGGCTCATAAACAGCATTTTGTCCCATAAACTGAAATACTTTTTCTATCATCCAGGTATTGTTCGCATTCCCAAACTTTACGCCAACTTTGTAGAGGATCAGTATATGAGTGTCTTTGCAATAGCTTTACCATACACCAACCCATTCAAGTAAGTTGACACTTGTCTGTAGTATTCACTGCTTATCCAGTATTAGCATCTCCCATTATGGGTACCAAAGGAAGGAAGGAGAATGAGTCCATATCCTAACAAGCATGCCGTAAAAGGCAACTAAGGAATTTCTCCTCTGAATTTGAAGCACATCTGACCATGAGGTGAGGTACCAAAAGTCTGCATACAAGTAAGACAGCTCTGTGAAATGAATATGCATCCAAAATTCAAGTTCTGGAACAAGACTAAAGTTCAAAAGTGGATGAAGAAATTGAACTTTTATGGGAGTTTACAGCCAGATAACACTAAGAAGAAGCATGTTAGTATCATTCTTCTTCTTCATTTCCTCTTTTAATGCTTTGAGTATCAAAGGAAATAATATATTCTTGTTATTGTTCCTCTTGCTGCCGGGCCCTGAGCATTTAAGACTTTGTCTTAGTTATCTTTTTGTTTTGTTCTTGGTATGCATTTGACTCTACTACTCTCTTTCTTTTGGTATCTACCTTATACTGTTGGCATTACAAGAAATTCAATCTAAATTAGCAAATAGTTGTATTTATTTTCTTTGTATGTGAATAAATTTGGTACTGTGTTGAGCTTTTCTTTCATGGCTTCATTTCTGATCAAATATCTTTGTGTATCCTTTCTCAGTTATCACATTTCCTTGACTACTAATTTTATTGTCTGTTTGATACTTACTAGTCATGGAATTCACCCCAGTCTCGCTCAAGTGTGAGATTTTGTGGTCGTTCCCACGGCTGACCTTTGTTCTAGGGGTGTTATGAGATGCCTTCCTTCCCTGTCTGTAAACACTGTGGCGAAAACTGGCTTGCATTCGTTTGACTCGGTTGACACTCTATCTCTCTGACAAAACTGTGCAGCTTTCTGGTCGCAGCTGTCTTTTCTGTGAACGACTGTCATTTCTCGAATGTGTTGTTGTTGTGAGTAACTCAGGGGCTGCAGGTGCTTGTGTACAAGGAAGAAGTACTGCAGGGAAGAGCACCGAAGACGTGACGGTTCCAGAGTATCCAATCATTGATGTTTTTATATTTCTACCATCATTGGCGGTGACTGTCACTGGTGGTGGATGCGCTTAAAATGTTCAAAACCAGCAACACCTGGCACCCCAAGAACATAGGACAGCCTGTAGGAACGAATACAAAATCATGCAGCTGAGCCAGATGGGGTGAATTCCATGTTTTGTTGTGAGTGACCATGTCTGGCTCCAATTGACCAAACACTGTGATGTAGTTGTTTAACCGTAATACTTATGTCTGACAGTAATCAAGTAGTTGCATTTAAATTTAAATATACCATCTGTACAGTGGAGGTTGGCTGCAGTATACCTGATGCTGTCTTTGAAAATAGCATAGTGTGAGATTCCTATCTCTTCCATAGTGCAGCCTTCATACCATTATCCAAAGCCATGAGAAAGTCTTTTTTAAATTGTTTGCCAGGAAGATCAAACTCTGTTAAGTCAAAAATAGGATTTGAAATTTTTTGACTAAATCTCTAAGCTACAGACCCAAATTGTGCATGCTCAGGTGATGACTACTTTCTCTTCTCTGTGTGTGATTCTAAATCAGTAATATTATGGCAAATAAATGTTTTTTTTTTTCTTTTAAACAGAAAAAATGTGTTTACTTTTTTCTGTCATCCTTAGGTTCAGTCACTACACAGTGTCTTTGGCTCATCATGTTATTGGAATCTGGTTCATTCGATGCAGGCTCCCATTTCGCAGAGGATTTGTCAAATACATTCAGAGGGTATTTTGAAATGTTTTATTGTTTGTGTCCATTGCATTTGAATTTCTAAAATTATTGTACTTGAGGAGGATTTTATCCTAGGACTGGGAAATGCCGCCACCTGAAAACTTCGTGTTATGATAAGGCAGTCTGGCCTCTTATTCTTGATTAGCAGCTGGTCTAGGAGGAACGCTCTGACAGGAAGGCAGACAGAGCACCTTTTTGCTGATCCAGCAGCTTCTGCTGCCGGCTTTGTTCCAAACATATTGGTGTTGCCTTTCCTTTTGAGTTAACAAAGCAGGCTGAGAAAGGGATCATGCTGCATGGGCAATGGCAGCACATGGTCTCTACAGTACTGCCCAAGCTTTGTGCTGTGGAGAGGAGGAAATTCCTTCTTGGCCTTAATTGATATCACCACGGGCTGTGATTCCCATGGCCTATCTATAGCACAGTTAGACAATGTTGTCTTGAAAGATGATAAGGGGACAACAGGGTAAGTGAAAAAATAAAGGACTCCATGTTTTTGATAGATTCTTTCCTCTTTCTTTGCTTTCACTGCTTGTTAGCTCCGGCAGAATGTTCTGGTTGTTCGTCCACTTCTGGATGTTAGTCTTGTTCCAGAACTTGAGTGTTGCATACACATCCATTTTACAGATTTGGCTTTTATTTTTATAGATAAGGAAGCATTTGATATGATGGATGATGTGGTCAACATCATGCCAACTGCTTTTTCCAAGACATTTTCCTGGTAGTTCAAGATAATCACCCGTCTACGTGTCTACCACATTATTTTGAAATTTACCACGTGATATTTTTGTTTACATAACACAGGATTTTTATGACCAAATTATTTAAATTCACATCAGAAAAACATTTTGATTTTCTGAAAATTATGTAAATGTTATTTGTGATGTCTGAGTAAAATGTGTGTAACAATTATATATTTGTTGTTTCTGATGGGTGGTTATTTGTGTTTGTGGCAACCAGGGACTGAAGTACAATGTTCTTCAATTGTTTGAAGAAAACTCAATCCGACATCTAAACACTCACAATCAAGATTCCAGTGATCGTGCTCGCACCAGCTCTCTTAATGAAGGCCATCGCAGGTTTGAAATTTATGTGTGTGTCTTGTCTTATTATGACGTAATGTAGAATCATAGTTTGTTTTGACTGTTTATACACATATAAATCTGTCATTGGTTTTCTTTATTAACCCAGCGATTGTCTTTCTTTGCACTAAGAAGTGCATGATTTGTGTATCTGGTTAATTCACGTGTTAGATACTTTTCTGCTCCTTCTTCTCTGCCTCTTTTTTTTAACTTTTACTTCTTCTCCTCCTTCGCCTCCTCTTCTTTCTTCTTCTTCTGAACTGCAGTCGTGCTCCAGAACCTGAGTGTTGCGTGTGCTTCAGTTTTACAGATCTCATTCTCTTGAATAAAGACTGTTGGTTCCTTGCCTCTCCGGCAGATGCACTCTGACTTCAAAGGAAGCTCCCCAATTAGTCGACTCTTACGACATGCTTTTGGGGAGGCAGTGGGTCTATTCTTGTTTTCCCCACAATGGGGCCCCGGAACCCACACAGGGGGTTCTCCTCTTCTTTCTTCTTTTCCTTCTTCTCCTCCTCCTGCACCTCCTCCTCTTCTTCTTTCTTCTCCTCCTCCTCCTCCTCCTTCTTCTTCTGCATTTACCCTTAAAAAGCGGTTGGTATGTTGTATTGTGGTTTCAGCTAGGCTGTGTTATCTGTGCCTTTTGGCCCAACACATCTAATTACACCAAACTGTTGATAAGTTGCTTCTTGCGACATGGTTTTTAAAGAGCTGTGGGTCTGAAACCAACACTGGAAATATATTAGATACAATTCTTAACCTCTGTACTAAAGTAGTTTAGCCATTTGCCTTGTGCTCTGAAGATTGTGGATTCGATCTTAGACACTGTCCTGTGGTTGTGAGTATGTTATTTGGAAATAACTGGATCTTGTCACCAGAGGTACAGAGGTTCCTGCTTTGTGTGACACTCGGCAGGTCACCATCTGCTCGGTGGAGAAAAGTAAGCCTAATGGGATAAAACGCAGTGCAAAGAAAGCTGATCCTTTTGTCTTTTAAAACCCCAGTAGTTGTAACCCTGTGTCCTGACTTTTTGAGTATGTACCTCTATGCTGTGACTTCAATACACTTTGATGTTTGTATTTTGATGTTTTCTAATTGTTTTGTTCAGAACTTTCTCCTCCATTGGTTTTTGGTAAATTGTTATGTCATTTAATATGACCAAAGTACCTGGTCTTTCAAAGTTACTTTTTTACTGTAGGCCAAAGATATGGGTTGTTTAAAATTAGAATATTTATCATTTCCCCAATCAAACAAACTTGCACCAGAAAGGCAAATCCCTGCAAACACATGCCTGCAGAAGTTGGATGTTTTGACTGATAGAGCAAATATTGTAGCCATGTTGTAAATTGACACAATGCATTTATGTCCTCGGATAAACAAATAATAATAATAATAATAAGAAACAAATTTGGAAGTTTTCTATACAGCTGCATATTTCTAACTATGGCTGCGTTTGATATCTTTGCTAGAGCATATAATTCTTTCTTATTTAAAAAAATATAATTATGCGTAATTTATACTTGCTTTCAAATTTAGACGACGTAATGTATCAGGCATAGAAGGTATCAGAAATGATGGCCGTTTACCGATGGATGAAAAGATGTCACAGTTTCACAAGGAACTGACTGAGACATGTGTTGACATGATGGCCAGATATTCTTTTGGCAATTTTTCGGCACTGCCTAAACGGTGAGTTATATTTTTGCACAAAATGTGTAGTCATATTCAGGGAAAGTTATTTTTGTGTTTGTTTAGTTTAGCATATAAGAAAAAAAAAAAAACAAATTGTTTTTAGTTGTTACTATGTTTATGATGTCTTTGAGCCTCAAGCAATGCATGATATGCAATTGGCTCCTCCGTGTATGTCAAAAAAACATTGCACTATATGTCCTGTTTATTTTATTTTTGGTCAGTACCTACAAGAGAATTTGACCATTTTAGTGGCACCTTCTGTTTTGTTTTTAAATTGTACAAAATTTTTGATGTGCAGTCACTTTTTTCCTTGGAACCAAAATATAATTAAAAAAAAAATTAACCACAGTGTCCCACCTAGAGAAACATGCAAACAAACATACCAAAGCGAACTTAATAAAAGCTTTTAATGAAGAATTTTTCTCATGACATTGGCATATTGGGCACAGGGAGCTAGATCAATATTTATTTTAGCAGGCAATGAAGGGTACAGCGATACCTACTTTAGGTATTCCTAACACCTTTAATTAGTGACATTGTACGACATGCTTGTTTGGGTGGGTGGGGTTGGGGGGGGGGGGGGGGGGGCTAGAACCCCCGTGAGGTGATATCTTTCAATTTTAACTCTTTTTTTTTCAATTCTTTAGTCTTTGCAGGAGAAGAAAAAAAGGGGGGGGGGGCGCTATGGTGAAGTGATAAGCCATTTGCCTGAAGCTTTGAAGATCTTGGGTTCAGTTCACAGATTGCGTTGTTCGGTTCACGAGTGCAGTAATTAAGGAGATATCTGCTAGAGCTGTCGCGTTCCTGCTGTGTGCAGTAATCTAGACAATTAGCTAGTTGTTGTACGGTGCGAGACCGAGCAGTATCTGATAAAACCTGGTGCAGCGAAGTGATCCTCTCAACTTTGACTTTCACTGTTAATTAATAATCATTTAAGCAAATGAAAAGATGCATTAATGGTTCCCTGTTTACTGCAGGACTCCCGTAGCCCAGTTTTTGTTAAAGGATGGCCAACAAGGCACATGGGTGGTCGGCAACAAGATAATCACCGTGACAACAAGCGGAGGCGGTAACAAATCTGGCAGCTCAAGTCTCTGCGACAACTGCCTGGCTGTGTTCCAGAACTCACATGAGAGCCAGGAAGAGGTGAAGACACTGACCCCATCATCTACTGGGCTCGCATCATCTGCAGGTTCATTTCGTGAACGACGCAGGCACAAGTCCATGGCTCATTTAGGCCGCTCTCACACACAGGTGATGTTTATTATGCACAAAATACTTTATTATTCACAAAATACTTTATTATTCACAAAATACAATGTAACTGCAACTTATAAGTGGAGTTTCTAGCCTACACAAAACATGTCCAAAACTGGGAGTTGGCCATTTAAGTCAGGTGTAAAATGCAAACCTTAACCACATAATCAAACTACTGGATGTAAATGTGCCTAGAGAAACCACACAACAGCCAGGGGCTGCTGGGGTTGGTACTGCAATGTCCTATAAAGGATACGCAACTAACCTTACCACATAGTTGTAAAAAAGTAGCACAGCACTCGTAACAATCACTGTACACCACTTACCATGCCTCCAGCAGGCCATTACAAATATTTCCAAATGTATATAGGCCACAATTTGTGGTAGTTTCAAGGTCATGTTATAAAATTATTTGTTGTAAAGTTAACTTATTTTGCGGTGTTTATGATAAATACTAAGGGTTTGATGATTCTGGAGTTTTATAGGATAAGCAACTTCTTGCTAATATACTCCCCTCTCATCTTTGGTAGCTAATTGATATCTAGCTTCCTTCAATAAGGGGAAATGACTTGGGACCTGTGTGCATATTGTGTATTTTAAAAACCTCTTGGCACTTGAAAACCAAAAATAGCAAACCAGTTATACTCATCATCATCATCATCATCAGGTGCCTTGCCGACTGGCGTGGGCGATCATGCCTCTCCATAATCTGCGATCTCCTGCAGCATGTATCAGTTCGGGTGCCGACACACCTCCATGCCATGCAACAAGACTGTCAAGCATCTTCTCTCGTTGTCTTCCTCTATCCCTTTTTCCACAGATCTTTCCAGTGGTCACAACATGTTCTATTTTCCCTCTTCTCATAACATGGCCGAAAAATGATGACTGTCTCCTTCTCATGTCTGTGATGAGTTGTCTTCGGGCTCCCGCCTCTTTCAAAAACTCTTGGTTGCTCTTTTTGGCTGTCCAAGGTATTCTAAGCATTCTTCTGTAAAACTACATCTCTGAGGCCTCTAAAAATTGTTTGGCCTGCCTACCGATTGTCCAGGATTCACATCCATATGTAAACTGAATGGATATACTACTAAGTGTAAAATGAAAATTGGAAGTCATTAAAAAGAAAAGAATGCTAGGGAATGTATGCATTGTTGCCTCTTCTTGTGTCATCAACAGAAAATACTTGGAGCTTTTATCCAGTTATCTGACTGCAGTCTTCTTCTTCTTTTTCACATTCACTTGGCTTGGTTCTGGTTGGTTGTTTACTTCTGGACTGTAGTCTTGTTCAAGAACTTGAATTTTGCCTGGACGTCGGTTTTACAGATCTGGTTTACTTGTATGCTTGATTGTTGCTTGTTTCCTGCCTCTCAGGCAGATGCACTACAGTTTCAAAGGGAACAGCCCTAATTAGTTGACTTTTTACAACATTCTTGTCAGGGATACAGTGGATCTGCTCTGTGTTCCCCCCAACACCCGGGCCCTGGAACCCACAAGATGAGAGGGGCCAGCGATATTGATCATATACAAACCAGTCAACCAGAGAACATAGTGTTAGTTCTGGTTTTTCAGTTACCAAATGAGATAGAATGGAGAAATATTTGCTATTTACTTATGAGTCCTGTTGAACTCCAAAGTAATCATTTGAGGAGTTTTGATTAACTGACATGACAAGAGGGAAAGATAATATCAGAGAAACTCTACGACAGCACAGTATGTCTATGGTCGAGGCAGCCAGAAGAGCAAAAAGCAGAGTCTTATATCTCCCTCGACACCTGAAGCGGTAAAAGAGGAAGGAAGGAAGACGATGACTGTAAGATACTAAATTTATGAATATTGGAGGCCTGGCTCTCTAGCATAGCTAGTTAAACCTGACATTGCGGTGACCGGGTCACGAACTCCTTGTGGTCCGGGTTCACTCCCGGGGGTAGGCAGAAAAGCCACATTTCTCCCAGATTTACAGTACCTATCATGAAATCAAGGCCGAAGGGTTGCGATATCCATAGTACCGAGCCAAAGGGTTAAGAACTCATGTTTTCTGGATATTGAAAACAAAAAAATGAATATTGGAGTAATGTTAAAGTTACTCAGTTTATGTGTTTTAATTATATCCAAGGCAGTGAGTTTATTTGTTTCAAGGATGTCCAAGGCACTCAATTTATGTGTTTTAGCAACAACCAAGGCAGTCAGTTTGTAAGTATTTTGATGTCCTTGCTACTCAGTTATGAGCTCTAATGAGTTCAGTTTTTGAGTATTGGTTATTATATTTAGGACTGCAAATTGGGGGATTCTCATGAATGTTAACATTTATCCTTTCTATAATTTTAGACGGAATCTTTGGGAATCACTCTGGAATGTGAGGAGTCTCTTGTTCCTCGTCGAAGTCAGGATGACATGAGCTTACCACAGGATTCAGGTATGAATATTTTTGGACATGACGATGTGGCTGTGCAAACTGGCAGCTCATTGAACAGAGATGGAATGGATCCACTTTTAATAGGTAATAGTCTGCTTTAGTGTAATAGTCCCTTTAGTTTGTTGGTAGAAAAACAGATAATTCTTCAATAGCATCAGTGTTGAGTTAAGATGAGTTAAAAATCAACGTAACTCAGTACTTTCCCATAAACGCTGTGCCTCATCTTCAACAGCCAGTGAAGAGTTCCAATGTTAACAATACTAGTTACAGTTTGATTATATGTCTGTCTTGCCCTTTCTCTAAAGGCATCAGGGCACATCCTCAAGCAAATTGTTAACATGGAAAGTAGATTTATTTGTTAATTTTTCTTCAATTATTTTTGTATGCGTCTTTTTAAAGTTGTGATTTATGTCACCCGTTTGAAATGTTAATGAGTATGTTTAAAAACAAAAAGCACTCCCAAAAACGTGACACTTTAGAATTTGTTGATTAATTTAGTTATTTATAGATTAATTTAGTTAATTATTTATGTTACCCTGAGATCGTTGCTGGAGCTGTAAAGATGCTTTAGTGATTCTTTTGGCAGGCAGCAAGCCGCTTTGCAAAGTGTGACATAAATTTGTTTCATCTTTGTAGTGTTGTAAATAAATTTTTTTAATGGGTGGAAATCATTTAGTTTTATAGGCTGTTTAAAGTAAAGTCATGATAGGTTGTTGAATAATTATCACATGTGATGCAGCAACAGTGTATATATCCTTCAACAAAGGTTGGGGGAGACTAAGCCATTACACATATATCTGAAGTGCAGTACCATCATTTTTGCAAAAAATAGTAATACAATATAATGTACAAATCAGAGAATACTTAAAATTTCTTGGACAGCCAAAAGTAGTGATACAGATGTTTTGTAAGAAGCTAAGATAGTGTATCACACATTCAGAAATAAGCAGGCATAATTTGTTGGCCATATTAAAAGAAGAGAAAAACTTAAACATATGACAACTGCATATATTAAGAGAAAGAAGATTCTTACCAGCCTTTTGTTATGGCATAAAATGATGTCAGTACACAGTTAAATGCTGTTCAAGACCACAAGATGAGATAACTCTGGTGGCTCATGCCAGTCGGCAAGACACTTGGTGTTGCTCTACATATCAGTGCTGAATCTTCACCAGTTTTCTTCTCTTTGTTCCAGAAAGCAGACGGCACATATCAGAGCCACGCACCTTCTCGTCAACCCAGTGCAGCTGTTGGTGCACCAACTGGGCTGAAGTCACGATTCGAGGAGCCAGCGGGGTCATATCTTGGATGATGAGAATTGAGAATGAATCCAGCAACTACCATTTTGAAACAGATCCTTCGATGCCTGATATTACTCAACTGTTAGCTCCAGTTAGATGCAAGTAAGTAACTTCATCAAAGTCCTCTAATGAGTTTATATCGGCACACATCATGTGGACAGGGTCGCATTAGCGCAGTCAATAGGAGACTTGCTTTCAAATCCAGCTGTGACTCGTTGCAGCCCACACGGCTGGGGTTCGAAACTGGACGGTTCCCCGGGTTCACCCAGCCTCTAGGAAATGGGTACCAGAGTTAACACTCTGGGGTAAATGGAGGAATGTCGCTGCAGCTACGGAGCTTCGTGCGGACAGCAACACAGGCAGACAGTTTATTCTCAGATGTCCATACTGGTGGCAGAGCACTTATGGTTTATAACATTGTGCAGGGACGCTGGTTCATATCTCTCGACTTTACCTTTACACATCATGTGGAAAATAAACAGAGAAAAAAACGACTCACGAAAGAATTGAACAAGAGTAAACCATGAGGCAGGCAAAGAAGAGCTGGAGATATACCTGCAGATTTACAAATACGTGAGTCACCAACTGGAAAGAGCTATTGCTCAACTGTTGGCTCCACTTAGGTGCAAGTGTGTAACGCTATCTAAATAGGTCAGTGAGTTAATATTTACATACATCACATGTATCATAAAGCTGTTTAATGCCTTAAAGACAATGGCACATAGGCAACTCCATGACAATGTGTCTACCTACATGCAACAAATCTAACACCATCAGAGGATACACATAATAGGCCTTTAATGTGACTACAAAAAGCAACAAGGTAGTTTACCCCAGAGGTGGTTCGTGCCTAATACCCTGCAGGAAATGCCACATCTGCCTGTGTGCTTTAAAGTCGTCACTCACCCACTGGCCTTACGGTTACTCCAGGTTGTTAACCAAGTCTGAACCAACAGCCTCCGATACAAGCTCTTCCCCGAGCTCCGGTAACCTACACCTTAACTGGGTTGCTTCTCACTGCCCTGGATAGTGTGATCAGACAGATCACGTCACTTAGCTGGTTCGCCTTGGTGTAACACCTTCGACATAGCTCTTCTACTTCTTCTTTTCTTCCTCCTCCTCCTCCTCTTCTTTTTCTTCTTTTTCTTCTTCTTCTTCTTCTTCTTCTCCTCCTCCTCCTCCTCCTCCTCCTCCTCCTCCTCCTCCTCCTTCTTCTTCTTCTTCTTCTTCTTCTTCTTCTTCTTCTTCTTCTTCTTCTTCTTCTTCTTCTTCTTCTTCTTCTTCTTCACCACAAGCAGTACCCCCTTAAGAACCACCTACATAAGTAGGTGTTGGTATGTACTTTAGGAAATATGAATAATCATACCGGTCTATCACTACACAACATACAAAGTTAAACTGCCAACTCATAATAACACTGGAATTAGAATACCGTCAAGCTAAGACATAATCACAGACTAATCACAATTCACAATACCCTATCCCTCACTAAGTCTCTAAACCAAGCCAGCTACAAAACTCTAGCGGTCAGAATATGTCTTGTCCTGTCTCTGGTCTCTAAAGTGTCTTGCTTCTTTTGGGGAAGACTCCAAACTAACAAAAATGAAAACAGTTTTTTTCCCCCCTACTGAAAGTTTTATTAATTGAGCACTCACATGAAAAAAAAAAAATTTTAAACTATTTTTTTGGGGGTCTATTATATTATTAGCATTTAAAAAAAAATGTTACAAATATGTTTGTTATTATCTGCCTAAGGACCCCTGACAGCGACAGCGTTGGCAAAATTGACAGTGGCAGCTTGTGTGAGGAAGAATATGACAATCTTCACACGCAACATTTCTCAGAGGCTGAAAGAACTTGTAAGTCTTTATAACCAGCATAGAATATGTTGTATATAAAATGTTTACTGGAAAATATTAATTTGGACAATGCTGTGTTTAAAAAAATTTGTTTAAAGAAATCTTTATTAGAAAATATTACATGAAAAATGTACAGTCAACATTTTTAAAAACAGAATGTTATTTCAAACATATCATCAAATGTTTTGTTAGTAAATTTTATATTTCAAATTGTTACTTAGGAAAACCCCAGTTAACAGAAGTGTAGTATGTTTGTCAGAATTTTAAATAGGAGATTTTGCATCTGAAAACAGAAACATTTGAGAAGAAATAAACTCATGAAACATTTCTTGACATTACTTAACTGGTGTCACCCTTGTTTCTAATATCGTTAAAGCAGCAAGCAAGACCCAGGTTTTGAACTTCATTTAGATAATGATTTGTATCAGGAAGGTGTGACATAAAATTACCTAGCAGCTTCTGTTTCTCTGAATTGTAGAATGCACCCAGCAGAGGCAAACAGTTTAAGATGAATTCCTCATTATTATTATTGGGAGGGAGGGGGGGGGGGGGGGGGGGAAATTGGTGAAGGCTGTTTCTAGTACTAGCAGTAGCTGTAGTTAGCAGCAGTATGTAATAGTAGTAATGTAGTCATTACTAGCAGTTTGTAGAAGTAGTAATGTAGTAGTAAGTAGCAGTTTGTAATAGTAGTAGTAGTAGCAACATCTCTTTTACCATGATGTTCTTGCAGTTTAATCACATTTGTGCAGATTCACAGTCAATACTTGATTCGCACAAACTCTTCTATTTTGTAGAGCATTCAGAAGATCTGCCTGGTCCATGGCTCATCCACCCTCCCCAGCAGCTTTACCTGCAAGCCGATCAGCTTGATCATTTCCTTGCACGCCTGTATGCCCTGGCAGGAATATGAAACTGATATGTGTCAGCCCCAATTACTTCAGAGACTCCAACCAAGGACTTATAACCCAGTAGTGGCAGCTTGTAGTAGTAGTTATAGTAGTCTAGCTAGTACCAATTTATAGTTGCAGTGCATTAACGCAAAAAAAAACAAAAAACAACAAGATATACAAAAATATTAGTTGCATGCAAACAAGTGTCTAGACTAAGATGAAACTTGAAGACATTGTAGAAAATAGGCTTACTTTTTGTCTAGCACCAAAATTCCCTCTTTGTGTGCCAATCCACCCAGCAGGATCAGCCTTGTTTCACAAAGTGAACACCAGATGTTGCTGTTTGAGGGACCCGCCCCCTTCTCCTACTATTGACATATTTCTAGATTTATAATTTTTAAGGTTTTCCTCATAATTCAAGCTCTCACTGACTGTGTCACTTCAACTGTGAATGTATTCTTCATGAAATTATGACTCCGCAGAGTCTGAATAAACCAAAGTATTGATCACCTGTTGGACTGTGAAAAGCCTAGACCTACTTTACTTTTTAGTTGAAGTGCTTGGTTCATCAGCCGCTCGTTTCATTGTTAATTTTCAGAATTTTTTCATGTAAAACAACACAAATTGAATCCAAACACATGCGGGTAGACATCTGGAATGACTATTCACGAGGTCTGATTATGATTGGCTAGTTATTTTTAGTTTGTGATGCATTGTTTTCACGTAGTATGCAAATTCCCGACATTGAGAGACAGCGGTTTAGTGGCAGGAAATTCCCGTAATAGCGGGCCAGCGGTCTGGTAGAGTTAAACAATAGCAGAAACATAGCTACAAATAACATGGCTGATAAAACAAACGTGGAAGCTAAAGAAGAGTAAGGATGCTGATGAGGGCAGATATAAGACAATATTGAAATGCTTTGGCAGATGAAAGACAGAAAAGCTGTGAAAGGGTACCTCAGAGACCTTTACAGCCCTATACTTTTATAGCTGTACTTAAAATAAGGAGAAAATAATCCACCAGTTTGACTAATCAGAAATGTTAATGGCAAAGTTATAGCCAACATTAAATAAAAAATAGACACTGAATTCTTTGAGCAACTTCTAAATAGGCCAGTCCAGAGACAGACAACAAACTCTCTTAGGGTCTTCACCCCCCCCCCTCCCCGACCCCTACCTTTTCCTTTTTCGCATCCCCCTTTTCCCTGTCTTTATGATAAATTTGATGTGTTTCTTTCATAAATTGGTTATAAAGTGGCAATATGATCTGGCTGGTTTATCTGTGGCTTCATGGCATTTACTGTTCTTGACTTGTACATATTAGAGTGCACAGAATAACAGTTTTTCAAAAGCAGATAATTTATATTCTCTCTTATACAATATGTCGGCGTCTGTATCTTAGGCGTTGCGAATGCTTTTTGTAATGCCGGGGTGCCAGGTTCAATCTCAGCTGCAGGCTTTGCGCCTTGCATTGGTTTTGACAGTGGCATTGAGAGCCGACCGTTTAAAAAGAAGTGGCAAACTTCTGGACGTAAATTTGCTTAGAAAAACCACAACAGCTGAAAAATGCTGGGGTTAATACTGCAATGTCCTGTAAAGGGTATGCAACTAACTTAACATATACACAATATTGATATATAATTTCATGGCCTGATTGTTGATTTAGTGCTTTACACTGCTTTTGTTTTCCCTTACATTATCAGTGCTTAAGGAGGAATTTCAGCCAGACTGCTCATCTAATGAGGTGAGTCCCATTTCTAAAATATTTGTTATTACAGGATGTACATATGTACCGGAGCTATGGTATAGAGATGTGATATTGGTTTGGATTCAGAGACAGGATCTTTTTGCCCGAATCATAATGGCTGTGGGGTCAGCCCAGCTTCATAAAATGGATGCTGAACTAAAAAAATGATGGAAAAAAGAAATATGGTAAAGAGGGAGACAAACCAGCCACATTACCTCAGATGTGGAGGCTTAGTGGTTACACCACAACGTCAGTAACTGCTGTAAGGCAAACTTTACCTGTTGAAATAAAATGCATAAATATTTGATCACTGGCATCAGTGATTGAAAAGATAATTACTGATAAATTAAATGAAGACAACTGAAATATTTTGGCCGCATTAAAAGATAAACCTTACTCGAGTAAAAGAGAGGTAGACAACAATGCAAGTGGGATGACAGTGTCAAGAGATGGACAAACACCATCTGAACAAGTGTAAAACCAAGGGATAGGGTGTGTTGGAAATCCATTGCAGCCAACCTTTGCGGAGATGTCACCTGATTGATAGATTGATTGATTGATCATTAGAGCTAATGGATTGAAATGGCTGGGACATATAGAGAGAATAGCAGATAATGGAGAGGCAAAAGCTGTGTACACAAGGGAGTTGAATTGTCATTTAACCCAAGGCAGATTAAGAAGACAGTGGAAAGATAGTATCCATGCAGACCTAGAAATACTTGGTGTCACTAACTGGAAGGAGATGACCAGTCACATAGGTGAATGGAGGCGTGAGCTATCTGCAGCAATAAATCCCAAAGAATAAGAAAAATTTATGTACGATTCATATTTTTAGTTCTTTAATAATCTCTGTAAGGAGACAACAATAAAGTTTAAAATCTGTTTCTCAACTTAGAAAGAAAAACCCATTAAAACGTCCATAGATAAAACTACATTACAACCAGAAGAAATTGAAAATTTTGATAACTAACAACAGTGTGGACTGTTCAAAAGAAATAAGGACATTTGCCATAACCTATTTACTTAGTCGATCCACTTCTACCTTGGGGGGTAGAGATTTGCCAGAGAGATTGCCAGACTTCTCTATCAGCAGTTTTCTTTTTGGTGGCCATAACAATCATTAAAAATATTTTTTAAAAACCTACGGGGCATTAACAGTCTGTAAAGTCTGAACATCAAAGACAAATGGTTTATAGACATCATCAAGTCTTCTAAAATGAAATACTTTATCCACATAAAATGTCATAAGGATGTTGAAAGAAAAAAACAGTATTAAATAACAGTTCTTGAAAGAAGAGGAAGGGGCTGATGAGCATGAAGGTGTAGGCCTAAGACTGACATTGGAGACACTGTGGGCATGAAGATACATGAAACTGGGAAATTACAAGGGATTAAGATACATTTTTGGCCATGACTGGAAGTGAGTGGTGTTGGTTAAAGAACTTGCTAAATGATGAGGGGTTTTGTTTAAATCTTGTCTGAAAATTCATGTGAAATATAAATAATACAGTGTTGAATTACAGTAATACCTTTGGTCACAAGCGGAATTTGTTCTTTGACACCGTTTGCGAAAGAAATATCCATGAACTGAAAACAAATTTCCCATTGCAATGAATGCTAATCCAATTAATCCATTTGCCCACTCCAGAAACAAAGTTTTTTTTACTTTAAAAAAATGGATTTATGTGTGACAAAAACATAAAATATACATTATAACTTTACTTTTGTGGATAATATTTGCGTGTACAGGTAGATGGTAGAAGAGGAGGAGGAGGAAGAAAAATCACTGACGAAAGTAAAACCTTCTAGCTTATTAGGGACTAGCTGAAACTATCTCCAACAAGCTGTTTTTCATTAAACAATACTAACAATACTTGTTCTACTGATTTTTACACTTGAGACCTTTGCACATAGTTGCTTCTTTAGCCACTTCAGCCGTCTTTAGGGCATTTTTGTTCTTTTCTTGGCGTGATCAGAAACACAAACACCATTCTCATGTTTAGTTATTATTTCCATCTTCATTTCCACTATAATAGGCTTAGGTTTCTTTACACCGCTGTGACTAACATTGTACACTTTCTTGGGAGCCATAATGACAGTTAATTTAATGCAAAACAGAAAAAATATGTTAAGAACAACACAACAAACAAGAACAACACAACAAACAAGAACAACACAACAAACAAGAACAACACAACAAAGAACAACACAACAAACAAGAACAACACAACAAACAAGAACAACACAACAAACAAGAACAACACAACAAACAAGAACAACACAACAAACAAGAACAACACAACAAACAAGAACAACACAACAAACAAGAACAACACAACAAACAATGTCATGTTTGTGTGCTCATCCCCCAAGGCATTGTTCACGGATCGAGTCCAAATTTGTGCAGAAATTGTGTTCGTGGGCTGATTTGGTCAAGACTAGAAGTGTTCTTGACTCGAGGTACCATGGTTTGAATACAAAGTTGCCAAGATAAATAATAACCAAGTTAACTAAAGTATAATTTTTTTTCCCATTTCCGAAAAGCTTTGGTCTGAAGATCATTTTGATGGCTAGGAAGATTCAGGGTATAGATTCAGAGGTCAGCAAAGAAAGCTAATGCTGCAGCGGTTGACATAGTGGAGTAGAAGACAGTCAGTGTTTGCACCTTTCAGGATGTTATAAAACAAACGGTTTCAGAGAAACATGTGTAACTTTGCCAGTGGCCCGTGATGATGAATATCTTTATACTGACTGATTCAATAAAAATGATCCTATGTTTCTGATTTTGTTATGTTTTTTATTTACAGACGCCAGATTCAAACTTACTAAGCACAGAGGATGACCTGCAGTCCCCGAACCATCTGCGAAGGATTAACTCCTCTCCTTCTCTCCCAAGTGGGTCTCGTGTCAGCAGTGTGTCTTCTAAAGATCTAAGGTGGGACCTGGAAGGTCTCAATGAGAAAAGAGTCACAGAGGCTCTCATTAAGAGTGTCAATACTGAAGGCTCCATCATTAGATCGGAGGCAGGCGATTTCTCCTTTTCACAGACTGAATCACCAAGCTCCCATCCTGCAGTTCACCTAGCTGATGGCCTTAGTGCTGGCCTCAGTACCCCAGAGAAGCAGTCAGATCTGTCTATAAAGTTAAATGATGACCCACACGACAAGCCTGGTTCACGTGTGAATGAGAACATCCCCACGCAGAAGTCGGTTGACAGTGGCGACAGTGTCTTTCAGCCATCACAGCCATTGAAGGATGACTCTAGTGCGGCCTCCACTGCAAAAGACAAAACAGAACAGGCTGCAAGGATTACCACTGCCAAGATGATGGAACCTGGTTCATGGGATCAGAAAAAGATGCCACAGAGAAGTCTTTCTATGGATATTGCTAGGAAGGAGCGACCAGAAGCCTTGGACCTACGTACTTCACACAATCGCAATATGTTACCAGCGGAAGGTACGGTATATTTTTCCAGTGAACTCTTCTTCTGCCTTTTATTACCCTAGCGTCCCCGTACGGGTTTCTAGGTCCCCTTGTGGGAGAAAACAATAATTAATCAACCCACTGCTCCCTAACACGTATGCTGTAAAAGTCGACCAGTGAGGGTTCTCTTCAAAATTGAAGTGCGTCTGCTGAGAAATGAGAAACCAAAAGTCTGCACACAGATAAGCCAGATCTGTAAAATGGATGTGCGGGCAAAACTCCAAATTCTGGAACAAGACTAAAGTCCAGAAGTGGATAAACAACCATAATTTTCTGCCAGGGTTTACATCAGTGAACATGAAGAAGAAGGTAAAGATCCCCTGTTGGAGAATATGCCAGCTAATGCCAAGTCATCTTGTTCTTTGTCATTAAGTGCGACTCACTCCATGTCCTGCAAGTTCTAATTGTGTTTCCCTGGGTTATTTGGTCTGCTGTTATTCATTCAAAACAGGGCACCATTCTGTTTAGATAATATAGTTAATACAGTAAAACCTTATAAAAACGAACTCGCTTAAGATGGAAACTCATTTAAAATAAATACAATTATGGTACCAGAAAGAGTGCATTATTGCTGTTATTCCCTCATTAGCATTTTTCTAAAAACACAAAATTGATTTTTGCTCCCTCTGAATTCGTGTTAACAAAATGTTACTATATTTAGGAGCAGGTGGTCAATGAGGTCAGAATATCTGCCTTACACAATGTGTATCTGATTCTTAGTAAGGCTTGGTTTTGATTTAACAAAAAAAAAAAAAAAAAAAAAAAAAAAAAACCACCAGCCTCTGTACTACATGGCCTGATGTTGACCACATTACCCACCTCATGCCGATAGGTCTAAAGAATTTAGGTTTAGCCATTTATGCCCAACACGCCTGGAGGCAGGGAAAAGGGCCCTTTTCACTCTGTACTACATAGCAGTTACTTGGCTGTTGGGGTTGGTTCTGCAACGTCCTGTAAAGGATACGCAACTAACCAGTCTAACCCCAGGGAGGCTAACCTGGTCAACAAATACCTGCAGATGTCAGATGTGTCAGCCAAAAGGCGCTACTATCACAGGGCACAATGCAGTTACATCTTCGGGTGAACACAAAAGAAGATGAATCTAGACCAATCAAACAGGACTTGAATGAAGTGCTAAATAACACAGTTATACTAATCCATTAATAAAGGCTTTGGTCAAAAAATTTGGTTGTGTTTGTGCGCGTTGGTCAAAAAATTTGGTTGTGTTTGTGCGCGTTGGTCAAAAAATTTGGTTGTGTTTGTGTGCGTCTTTTCCATTTCCTCCTTTGAGTTTTCTAGTTATATTTTGTGTTATTTACCAGTTCTTGTCTTCAGCTCAACTGCAGTCAACCCCTATTTAGGACATTATTAATACAGGTGTTGAATTAGTTTCATGTGAACAGAAATACTTGGACCGTGTTTCATGGAGAGAGAAAATCAGGAAGGGAATGGGAACAGAGGAGAAAAGGATTGCAGATAGGTTAAGAGCTGAGCGTCTGAGAAGCAGCTTATTAAATACATGCAACAGTAACAGTGCTCCTGAAATCCAATGCTTCTTCTTCTTCTTCGCATCACCAGCGGTAAACTCTGGTGGAAAGTTCTGGTTGTTCATCCACTTCTGACTGCAGTCCTGTTCCAGAACTTGAGTGTTGCGTGTGCATCCATTTGACAGATCTGACTCATTTGTATGCAGACTGCTAGTTCCTTGCCTCTCAGGCAGATGCACTCTGACTTTGAAGGAAGCTGCCAATTAGTGGAGTCTTACAACATGCTTTTGGGTAGGCAGTGGGTCTATTCTTGTTTTCCCTATAACAGGGCCCTGAAACCCACACAGTGCTGTAATTGTAAAAGACTTTACTTATGCAAGGGGGTCTTGCTAGTCACACTCACCATTGTTGTGGTCTGTGATTCACATGCCCCTCTTTAGCACAGTATAAGAATATCGCCTGGAAAGATAGAATGGTGCCAACATTTATCAAAACTATAGTTTGAACAAAGAAATCACAAGCAATAGATTACACAATTTATTGCCAGGCATATTTCTCTGTATCTCATCAGGTGCATACTACAGTAACAATTGATTACAATGAAGCAAATAAATGAATCCTTCGAACTAAAAACAAAAATTCAAATACATCCAAAAACTATCTGCTTCACCAGGGTAAATGCAAGGTGAAGAGAATGTTCTTTTGTCTGCATAATTCTGGACTAAACCGGTTTAACATTGTCGCTTATACAGATCTCAATAATCTATGGTTGGCAGAAGTGTAAATAATTTGAAATGCATCTTCCTTGTTCACAATATGGCCAGCTTTTAAAATTCAACATGTGATGGCTGATAGTTAATTTTTCTGAGCAGTCACCTGATTCGTTGCTGGTGAGTTGTTGAAAAACACTAACAACAGTTGTGCAATCTTTGATCAAATTCACAAAAGCGAAACATTGCTTTGATTTTCTAAAACTATAGTTGTTTGTGGGAGCCGCTGTGGTGTAGTGGCTAGACGCTCGCCTGCTGATTCAAAGGACACGGGTTCAGATCCTGATGGAGATGGACTTTTGTTTAGTAATGACCTTGCCTCCCAGGTCGACCCAGCCTTATTTGGGTACCACGTAGAGTCCTGGAAAATAAAGGCGGTCAGCGTGATGTTGACCACATCATTCACCGATTACTCATTGGTCTATAAAATATAGGTCAACCCCTGAATGCCCAGTGTGCCTGAAGGTGTGTAAAAGGGTCCTTTACTTACTTTTACTATAGTTGTTTGTGTTAAGCAACTTTGCCCAAGAATGAAAGTAAGTCATAAAAAAAAAAAAAAAAAACTAATCATATTATACAAGAACATATACTGTCTTATGCAGCTGTGCCGAATGATGAGTCTTTGGCATCTTCACTTCAAGATGAAGTTCCTGAGCTGAGGCAGCCTAAAAAACGTAGTTTCACCATTGCTGTAATGAGTCCCTCGTTAGAAGGCAAGCAAGGGGAAGATTATGATGGTCGACTAAAGGTTTGTACATTTTGAGTTTTAGGAGTGGAAAATCAGCTAGAAAAGTTTCTGTTTTTACCAAATACCATGAATTAGTTAATAGATGAAATTATGTATTTGTGTATATTGTTGGTATTTATTGGAAGTAATAATTAAAAAAAAATATTATGTATATTCATATATCCACACTCACATGAACACACTTGGGCACACACACACCCCCCCCCCCCATTCATACAATACATAAGATAACTCTACTGTGTAAGTTACTCAAAAGCATTAGAATGATGATTCACATTCCTATAAAATACATTGAAGAAGCACACCAACCACTTTTTAAAATCGACAATGAAGAGATTGAAAATGTCACAGATTTGGATTATCTAGGCTCAGTAATGAACAACAGTGGTGTCTGTAATAAAGAAGTCAGAAAAAAAACTTGCTTTAGCAATGCAGAGACTAAATAAACTGTGGCATAGCACCTGCAAACAAGTTAAACATTTTGAGATCATGCATCTTTCTAGTGGCAGTTAATGGATATGAGTCATGGACTGTCACTCCATCTTTGAAGAAGAAAATCTTAGCATTTTGAAGAGAAATGCCATAGAAAAATTTTTAGACTACCTTGCATCAAGAAGAAGAAAAACGTTGACATCCTGTATCAAGGAGAATTGGCTCGTAAACAGCATCCTTTCCTGAAAACTATTTTTGACATGTCAAATTGTTGCGATACATCAGCCTATGATATGACAACCTCTGAATGGCAGATGACAACACATTTAAAATCAGATACAGTTATGCTGGTCAAACAAATATCTAGGCTGTGATATACGGAACTGCTTCATTATTCATGATTAGAGTCCGTCCCAACAAGTCTGCGTACATACAAGTTACAGCTGTACTTTGCTGAAACTGCAACAGACAACACTGCTCAAACTTTGGTATTCATTGACCGCCATATTTAATACATGTAACAACAATGAGCAGTGAACGGTGATAAACGTCTATCTCTCTGTCCTAATCATCTAAAGATTCAGTTGTTTAATAATAATATTAATACTCTCGCTTAGGTTACATGTTAATTCTGAGGAATACGTGAATCTTATGTCAAGACACATTCAGCCGGTCTCCAGAGATTTTCCCATAATGGGTCTACTGAAGCATGAACCCGATATATTTCCGCTAGACATATTTACAAAAGTATGTCTACAATGGAATTTAATAGACCACACACCACTCAAATACCATGGTGGTCTGGAGATAACGGTGATGTAGGGTGCAGTTTCAGGAAAGCTAGGCAGCAGCAGACCACCACACAGGTGGAAAAAAGACATTGAAGATGCATTGGATATGAAAGCACACAGGGCTGGAGAAATGACTAAAGAAAGAGAGAGACTTTCAAGCATGCCGTGAAGAAAGTGACTTTCTGCAAGGGACATGCTGATTGACTTAAGAATAGCATATTTATGAAATGCAGTAAATATTATCTGTTCCTGTGGTTGGTATACGATTTTGTGGGGCGGGGGGGGGGGGGGGGGGGGGGGGGATTAGTACACAATAAAACAAAAATATATAAATTAAACGTGTTTCAGAGAAATGGCACAGTGGCTAGCACACTTGCCTGGTAGCCCTGTGTTCATGTGTTTGAATACCTAGTTTAAAAATTAACTTGGAATCCCAAGCTGACACAGTCTAAAATATTCTAAAAGGGAAAAGTAGCTGGCATAATATTCACCCTAACATCCATGGAATACCAAATTGGTTCTTGACAATGCGAGGTCAGCACCATATACGGAAATTAAACGGACACTAAACGGACATTTCACCAAAGACGTTTGATTAATCAACACAGAATGGGCTTTTTCGCTCATTTTATGCTTGTGGAACTATCAAGGAGGAGATCGGTGCATCTATGGATGTGTCCAGATGCTGTGAAGAAAATCCTCATTAGTGACAGAGTACTTTACTGCTTTTTTATTTTGAATATAGGTAGTTAAAAATATTTAAGATTACCATAAAGTCCCTGCTTAAGGATCTTCCCCTTTTAAAATGAAATGACAATTTACAGAAATATTTTATAATTTGAAGTTTGAACATTGGATCAACATCATGGCACCCATAAGTGCTCCGTTCTTCTTCTAACTCAAGTCTGAGTCCGAAGAAGCTCAGCACAGTGCACAGGCTCTGTAGTACCGGCGAGGGTCCTGAAATACTTTGGGGAGATTTTTAACTCCAAATTTTTCCCAGGCAGCACCGTTAGGCTACTCTTTTTGATTCCCAACTGCAACAATGCACACAGGTGTCCGATCTCACTATCTAGAGACCAGAGGGAATTACTAGAATTCTAAATCCACGTAGAAAAATCCCAGCCCTTACCAGGGATTGGACCTGGAACCTCTAGCACTCGAGGCGGACACCATGCCTCGAGACCATGCAGCCCCATTTTGTAATTTATGATCATCCAATAACATGGATTGTTAATAAAGATTTGTCATCTCCTTCGTCTCTCCTTGTTGGAACCACACTTAAATAACACCCTTAAAATGTGTTTGTGTGTCTCCATCTAACCGTCGTTTATGGGTCAGCATATATCTGTTGTTCATCATGAGTGTTTCAACTACGAGTGTTCTTGAAGCTAACTAATCTCTTGTCTTGCTCTTTAGCATTTAAAGTAAAGGACCCTTTTCCATGCCTTTAGGCATGTTGGACATATAGGGCTAGACCTATATTTTGTAGACTAATCAGCAGTCTGTGGATGATGTGGTCAACATCACACTGGCCGACTTTACTTCCCAGGACTGTACCTGATACCCATTTGAGGCTGGGTCGACCTGGAAGCCAAGGTATTTTTAGTTCAAGTCTGGCTTTGTCAGGACCTGAACCTATGACCTTAGGATCCAGAGGCAAGCACCTAGCCACTACGAGCCTCTATAGAATGACCCGAAAATTTGTATAAGCACAACACCCAGCATAATTGTATTTGAAATGAGATGTTTTTAAATAAGCATGCATTAATTCCATTAGGGTGCCGGAGCAGCCAAAGATGGGAAAGGAGGTCTCAACCCCAGCTATGTGTTCCTGCAGCTGTATCATTGCCATCCACTGGTGCAGAGCCAGGAGATCCCTCTCAAAGTTCCCGACACTGATGTAAGTCTGTGTATCCAACTGGTTGACTACCACTACCACTTCATGCTGTTGTTCTTCTTTTCGTTCTCCTTGCTGGGGGTTTTAGAATGAGAAGGCCACAAGCCTCTGTGAAGTCTGTGGTGCTGTGATGTCTGATTTATTTGATTTGATTCAAGAACTGACATCACAGCACTCAAAGCATTCCCATAAGCACTCCGTTTCCATCTTCAGCAGCCAGTGCAGAGTTCGGATAGAAATGGTGCCAGTGGCATTCTGATTAAACGTCAGTCTTGCCTGTCATCTGAGCCTTGAGCATCTGCCAGAACCTCTCGTCACTCCCCGCTGCATCAATCTCACCAGACTGTGGTGAGCCATCTGCTCCTCTGAACTGTGCACGCTTTCCCACAGGGCACTAACCACATCTGCCTTATCATGCATCAGTATTCCACCAAGTTGTGCAGAGCCAGCCAGTCTGTCCTCCTATTCATTTCCCAATACTCAGACAATCCAGACTCGTGTCCTCCGATGATGTCTTCCAGTGTTGCATGCAGCTTAATTTCCATTGGAATGGCAGCTGGCAAAACCTTGGATCTTCTTGTTGTCTTTGTCATCTTTAGTTCCTGAGTATTAATTAGAAAAAGTTGTGTTAGGTATATGTGGCCATATGTTTGTCCCGAATCTGCTGTTGATCAGCCTCTTAAATATCGGTGTCGGGCCGTTTTCTGGGAAGAAAACTGGCAACCCCACCTTGTATGTTGTGACCTAGAATATGTGAAGGCAAAAACTGATTGTTGTTTCCCCGTCTGGGCTTTGGGGCTCCATTGTGAGGGGAAGAAAAAATAATAAACCAATTGCCCCCTAACAGGAATGTCAGAGTCGACTAATCAGGGATGTTTCCTTCGAACTATCAGTGCATCTCTCTGAGAGGCAGGGAGCCACATGTCTGCATACAGTAAGCCAAATCTGTAAAATTAGCAAAACTGAGATCTGGAACAAGACTAAAGTCCAGAAGTGGATGAACAACCATAACTTTCCACCGGAGTATACAGCTGGTAAATACAAAGAAGAAGTGATTGCGGGAGAATTTCCTTTACTTACTATTGATCTTCTGCTATTGTTTTTACTGCTACAGATTCCAAGAAGTGGATGATTTTGTTGTTGTTGTTGTTGCTTGATTTATATATTGACTGTAAATTAAAAATATATCTTCATTTTTATATTCTTCTTGTGTGGTTGGCTCATTATACAGAAGTGAGGTTAATCAGGCATATGCAGGATTCCTTAAGTGAGCCCAGTATAGAGAATCCTGCATTGGCTTGGCATTTACGGAAGCCTTCTATGTTGAGGAATGCTCATGTTCTGCTTCAGCCTTCCCTTGATCACCAACTAAGGTGCATGTGGTAGTCCTAGATTTGTCCATCTTGTGATAGCATCTGTTATGCTTACCCCATCAGTTGAGTTATATTAAAAAGCATAACTTTATCTTGGCCTCCTCTTCTACCACATATTTGTTTCTGTTATTGTGGTGTTATTCCTTGGGTCTCTTCTCATCCAGTCAAAGAACACTGTTTATCTCTTTCTTATAGCTGCATGTAATTATTTACTTTCATGAGCCTTTCTAGTCAGTCGTTATTAGTTACTATGACTGTCCAAAGTATTTACAACATTCATCTCATAAACAATGTCTCAGCTTTTTCGAATGTGTTCTTTCAACTTCCTTGATTGACTGTCACACAGCCAACAGGAAGAAGCCAGCATTGTTTGCCCACATCGTGAGAAAAATACAGCTGGAGCAACCTAGCAACAGCTGATAAAAAAAACAAACTGAGGAAGTCGGAGAAAGAAGATATTTGGACAGTCTTGCATGGACAGATTTCAGCTGTGTAACTCTTTTTCTTCTTCACATTCACCGGCTGTAAACTCTGGCAAAAATTTGTGGTTGTTCATCCACTTGTGTACTTTAGTCTTGTTCCAGAACCTGAGTTTTACATGCACATCCATTTTACAGATCTGGCTTATTTGTATGCAGACTGTTGATTCCTCGCTTCTCAGGCAGATGCACTCTGACTTCGAAGGAGGCATCCCTAATTAGTCGACTTTTATGACATGCTTGCTGGGGGGACAAGGGCTCTGTTATTCTTTTGCCCCCAAGATTGGGCTCTTAACCCACATGGGGAGCACATGAATCCATTCACAATCCTTCACATTTAGAAGGCTTATTAGGAGTTTGCCAAAATCACAAATTTTGGGTCAAGAGGCACAAATGTCGCAGCCTGGCTGTAAATCACAACATCACTTGTCACTTGCTCTTTTAAGAAGGCATGCGGAAGATGTAGGAAACTGTTTGTAGACATTATTACTTTTCCCTTTTGATGGAGCATTTAATTATGACATTACTCTATGATAACTGTAATCTCTTTCAGAAATTCCGCCGCACCATAGATATACTCGACCATATCTATCCTTATGAGACTCACAAGATTGGAGTCTTGTACATGGGGAAAGGACAGGTAAGGCGGGCAGAATTATCATTTACCTTAAATAGTTTTTTTTTTTTTTCTTCTTTGAATAGACCTAATGCTCCCCAAATAAAAAATGTTGTAAAAGGCGACCAATCAGAGGTGTTTTCTTCGAAGTCGGAGTGCATTTTCCTGAGAGGCAAACAACTAGCAGTCTACATAATAAGCCAGATTTGTCAAATGGATGTGCATGCAAAACTCAAGTTCTGGAACAAAACCAAAGTCTTGAAGTGGACAAGCATTCTTCAAAAGACCTGTTGTTCAGTGGCTGAACAAATGGACAAATAGATAGAAGCATGAAGACTTAAAAAAAGGGGAGGGGCGGAGGAGGGTTCAAGAAAAATTATATCAGAACTGACTACAGTAGAACCTCACTTAATGAACACCTCTCATAACGAGTAATTCGCATAACGAGCAAAACAAATTTTATAAGAATGACTTGCTTAACGAGTGATGTTTCGCATAACAAGTGGCGAGGAAAGGGGAAGTCCCGGATTGTGTGCATGTTACATCAGTCTGTGTTTAGCACTCGTTCCAGTAGCATCGTAGTGTCGCTTGTCATCACACATTTTCTCAAACTTGTGTTATATTGTGATATATGTACATGAATCCTCCAGGCTTACAAGATGACCTCCCTGAAGAATTTAAGTTCATCAAGATCCAGTTTCTGCCTCACGACACCACTCCGTTACTTCAGCCATGGACCAGCAAGTTATTTCTAACTCTAAGAAGATCTTCACTAAAGCACTCTTCGAGCATTTTTTCAGGTGACTGAAGGGACCAACCTCACTCTCAAAGAGTTTTGGAAAGAATAACGACAAGGCAGAGGAAGGGGTTACCAAGAGAGCCCTAATTTCTGCTTGGAAGAAGCTTTGGCCGGAGAGCGTTGTCGATTTGTGACTTTGAGGGGTTCGAAACAGTACCTGTGGAAACTGTAGTCAATGAGATTGTGTCTTTGGCCACTATCATGGGATTGTAGGTGAATAACGGTGATATCGAAAAGGTTGTGGAAGAGCACAGCCAAGAGCTGACCACCCAAGAGCTTATGGAGTTGCATTGTGTTTCACAGCAAGAGGTTTCAGAGGAAAGTTTGTCAGAGGAGGAGGTAACAGAAAAGCAACAATCTTCTGACGAGAAAAAAAGAGAAATGCTGAAAGCAAGGGAAACTGTTGCATCTTACATTGAGAAGCATCACCCTAATAAGGAAGTGGCTATGCGCGCTGCAAATTTATTTAATGTTAATGCTGTGTCGTATTTTAGCCAAATTTTGAAGCGTCGGCAAAAACAAATGTCTCTGGACATCTTTCTAGTAAAAAAATAATTAGCTATTTATTATAATTATTTCGACTTTTTGTTTTGTCTTCAAATCGAATTTACATTCCAGGTGGGTTCGTTCCACGTTTGAAGAAAAGATGAAGGTGATTTACTCTCCTTAACAAAATGCGTATAATTTTCTTTGAATAAACATTATACGTAGCATTTTGTTAGTATTTTTTCGACATGGAACGGATTATCGTATTTTACATTAATTTATATGAGAAAAATTGTGTTGCTTAACGAGTATGATTCTGGAACGAATTCTGCTCGTTAAACGAGGTTCCACTGTGTTTGCATAATTTGGTTTTTATTAAGTTTTATGTAAATATAGTTTGCCTTTTCTGACTGTTTAGACATGCTGATTGAAAGTGCGTTACATCTGTTGATTAAACAGTAATGGCTTAGTAGTTTGTATACCTGCCTGCTGAGACACTGGTTCAGGTTCAGTTCTCAGAAGTGTCAGGATTTTTTGGGTATCTAGCCAATACTTGACTCTCAGAAGGATCTTAAAGGCGTGACAGACATATAATCTGTCTATAATGGTACTTCTGGCGCCATTGGTATATGAACCCTGCGTTGGCTGCTGAAACAAGGGGACGGAGCGCTTATGGGAATGCCCCAAATGGTGTAATGTCGGTTCTTGAATCAACTCAACTCATCAACTCAACTTAGCAGTGCAAATACGGTGACATCATAGTGATTGTTTTAAAGATGGCCACCCCTCTTTTGACATGCACCAAAGATGAGCAGCGTTTTGTTATCCATTGAGACAATGGCATGGTGATTGTAATTTCTGTCACACTTTTAAGGTTTTAATTTGAAATCCCCCTCATACAAACAGTCCTAAAAGTGTTGTATGATTTTTATCTTTTTCAGGCCAGCGATGAGAAAACTCTACTCAGCAATGAGTACGGCTCACCTCGCTACACTGAGTTTATCCAGAGCCTGGGACAGATGATCAGTATTGATGAAGCAGAGAAGGAGAAAATGTACCTAGGAGGACTGAACTCTTGCGATGGCAAGTTCACGATAGCCTGGCAGGATGAATCCCTGAGAAGTGAGTGAATTGATTGTAGTATATCTTGTAGCAAGGCTTCGATTGATTGATTAAGATCATAGCACTTGAGGCAGACTGTTTTTCCGGCTAAATGGGGCTTTGGACCCTACATGTGGAGAGAGGATTCTGTCTTCTTCGGGCACACCGGCTGTAAATTCCAGTGAAAGATTCTGGTTGTTCGTCCACCTGTGGATTTTAGTCTTCTTCCAGAATCTGAGTATTGCGCACACATCCGTTTCACAGATCTGGCGTATGTGTGTGCAGATTGTTGGTTCCTTGCCTCTCGGGAAGATGCACTCCGACTTTGAAGGAAGCCCTCAATTAGTCGACTTGTTCAACATGCTTTTTGGGGAGTCAATAGGTCTATTTTTGTTTTCCATTAAATTGGGGGCCCGAAAGTCAGATGGGAAGAAAGGATTCTATTTTTGTGCTTCATTAAAAGTTGGTATAACTCTGATGTAACACCTGATGAGATATAGTGAAATATTTTAGGCAATACATATAGTGCAGTATATTCTGTATGTCGCCCTTATTTAAAATCACTATAATAAAAAAAATTAAAGAAAAAAGTAAAGGACCCTTTTCCATGCTTTTAGGCGTATAGGGCACACAAGGCTATACCTATATTTTATAGACAAATCGGCACAAGATGGGTGATGTGGTCAGCATCACGCCGGCCGCCTTTATTTCCTGGGACTGCACTCGGTGCCCACTCAAGGCTTGGTTGACCTGGGAGCCATGGTGATTTTTTTTTTTAAAGCCTGGCTCTGTCAGGGAGCGAACCCATGTCTTTGATCCACGGAGACTCCATAAATTCACTATAGAAAACCTTTTTTTTTTAATTGAATGCTGTCGACAATTTCCTAAAAATACTATTTATCTAGAGAATAAAATACTGAACATCTACAAAATCTCAGCTTTAAAGAAAAGTGGCTTGTATTTGAGGATATTGTCTCAGAAAATCAAATAAGGAGATCATGTCAAACATCACAGTAGTTTAGGAAAAAACAGAAACAGTATTGGATACATGGTTTCTTTGGTTTCTTTTCTTTGAAGACAGGAAGTGAGTTAATAACCAACAACATAGCACTCAGGATATTCCCATAAGCATTCCACCCCCATCTTCAGCAGCAAGCGCAGAGTTCTTTCTTGTTCCAGTGGTAGCGGTGACAGTCTGATTGAATGTCCATCTCGCCCCCTTCCCTGAGTATTGAGCGTCAGCCAGATCCACTGGTAATTCCCGCTGCACAATTCTCTTCAGACCGTGATGATCTGTTTGGGCCTCCACACTGTTTACTTGCTTCCAAAGGGCCCTTACAACTTCTAGCTTGTCATGCATCATTATTAACCACCATGGCTAGTGCAGTCATCATTGTCTGTAGGTGAGGATTTTTGTGTGTGCCCCCAACAGAAAAAGACTCATAACCTTACTGAGGATTTGAACCTGGGTTTCCCGCATAAGAGCCTAGCATTAACAACCATTCAGGCAGCAACTCTTCTGCTTTAGGAATACTATACTTTATTGTTTAATATTTGTTGTTTTACTCTTTCAGTGATTTTTCATGTAGCAACTTTAATGCCCAACTTGCCAGGCGACACAAGGTTCAACAACAAGAAGAGCCACATTGGCAATGATTTTGTCACTGTTGTCTATAACGACAGTACAGAAGATTACAAAAGTGGAACAATATCAGTAAGTAATAATATCATTATCAAATGCCTTGTCGACTGGCATGGGTGATCATGCCTCGCCACAATCTACGATCTTGAACATAATCTATTAGTTCGTGTGCTGACACCCCTCCATGCCATGATAAAAGGCTGCCAAGAATCTTCTTGATTTGTCTTCCATTGTATCTTTTTCCACAGATCTTTCCATTGCTCACAAAATTTCACTTGGACTTTTAGTAGTTTCCTCTGGTCTCTGGGTGGTAAGATGAGACGCCCGTGTGTATAGTTGCGCACATAACAAATCCCTTGGCAGTTGGAAATCGAAAAGAGTAGCCTAATGGCGCTGCCCGGGCAAAATTTGGAATTAAAAATCTACTCAAAGTATTTCAGGATCCTTGCCGGTGCTACGAAGTTCAGGCACCTCGCTGAGATTCTTCCGACTCAGGCTTGAGTCAGAAGTAGAATGGAGCACTCATGGGTTACTACTGCCATTATGTTGATCCATCGTGTAAACCTAAACCAAAGTCTCCGCAGTCCTTTTATTTCCCATTTCAGTGCCTTCCTAGAAAATATCCTGGTGTCCTTTATAGGTTAGGATAACCTCAAAGCCCACGTCAAATTACAAAAATAAATAAATAAAAAGTACTGAACTTTATGAGAATTTTTACACATGACCACTAGTTTACTGTGGATCCCCTTGTTATGTATCTCTGGGTTTAAAGAAAAAAAAGTTATGGCTGAATGAATCTGAAAGACTTTATTTTTAGAAATATCAGCAATATACCTAAACTAAAGGACCCTTTTTACGCCAGTGTTGAGAAGCGATATATAGGGTGTATATTGCCTCTAACCAAGCGTCTAAAGGTGACTGATTATGCCTCACTCATATATGAAATTTCCCCCAAGCCAACCTCCTGGCGACTAATGGGTTTTCCTACCTGGAAGTACTAGGTTAACACAGTTGTCATAGTCCTATCATACCACCAACACTGAGAACAGTCCACAGCCAACCACATCAACAAAACGGGAAGAGTAATTTCTTTACATGCTACCATGGTGGGGTAACATGAAAGGGAACACCTAGCCTCGACTTGGCGTGAGTGCACAATATACTCCTTACTGTCTTGTTTCACTGGTGATCCTAGGCCTCCTTGCGTCGTCACCCAAGACAGATTCTCCTCCTCGGTTATGTGCCCTCACTTCAGTTCACCATAAGCGATACATGATAACTGATCAGAGACTCAGCCCCAGGCAACAAGTTGCTTGACAAACAGTCGCATCAGAATCATCATGAGGCACTACACAATTGCCGTCCTCGCAGTTGCGCCACAATTCACCGCTCGACTTCTGTCGGCCTTGTGGCAAATAACATGTTGGGCCCTCCACGCCTTGTCTCCCAAAATCCGCACAACAGGTGCATTTCGACTCATACACCAAATTTTAATGCACAAGGTACGCTTTCACTGAACTAATATGATACACATAATTACTGCTAAAAATTCACAGACAACTGAATATGCGTCCGCACGGTCGGACTTGCTGAGAGGCACTCAAATTAACACCCACGACCAACCCTTAGCTCAGCACTCCGGACCCCACATGGTTCTTGCTAAGCGTGTGCAAACCACTGTTAGTCGTGATTCTCTAGAAACATTTCTTCCACAACTTCGTGCTCCTCAAGAACCTTTGCCTCTCATCATCTCAAGCCACATGGACCCCTTTTGCCCATGTCTCTGTTACCATCATCATCCTGTGCCTTACGACTGACGTAGGCGATCACGCCTTTGATCAGCCCATTGAATTTAGCACACAACAGCCAATGATGCATTGGGTATATGTTGCCTTACTCATATTTTGTAGACCAGCTGGCTGTCAATGAGTGATATGGTTAGCATCATGTTGGCTGTCTTTACCTGCCAGGACACTTATCTGGTAGACATTTTAGGCTGGGTCAACCTGGGAGCTAAGGTCAGTTTGAAAAGGAAAGTCTCAGTGTAGATTTGAATCTTATACCATTATGTTGGCAGGCAAGTCTCCAGCCTCTCGGCTACCACAGTTGAATATGCCTATATAAATATATATGTGTGTGTATATGTGTCGGAGTAAGGCTTAAGCATTGTGGACGCACTTTAAAATGCCAGGTTGCCAGGTTCGATCCCAGCTGCAGGCAATTTTGCAGCAGAATGTCTTGCATTGGTTTTGACAGTGATAAGTAATAAAGTAAAGATCCCTTTTCACGCCTTTAGGCGTAACGGGCATATGGGAAGAGCGCCCATATTTTTATAGACCATCAGCACTCAGTGGGTAATATGGTCAGCATTACGCCGTTCGACAGTGATACAGAGAGCTTATCATTCAGAGTGCAATGGCAGACTACTGAACATAAAATTTGCCTACAAAAACTACAACAGCGATAAAATGCTGGGGTTGGTTCTGCAACATCCTCTATATATTGACAAATGTTTTTTTACATTTAACAATTTGACAGGGACAGTTCAACTTTGTCAGTATTGTGATTCGACCCTTGGACTACGAGAGTAATGCTGTAACACTCATCACCAAGGAAGGTTAGCATCTTTTAGTCACATAATGTATAAATGCCAACATGTATTTCCTGTTAGCAGCCGGATACATTCTTTAGTTTGCTACTTATTGATGTGTTTTGTTTGCAGTTAAATAATTATTCACAGAATGTATTTTTGAAGATTTTTGTTTATTTGTTTAAGTTTTTATGCGTTACAATTTTTTTTAATATCCATTGTAAAAAAAATCTTTGCTATATTAGTGTCATTATTGAATTAAAATCACACTTCTTCTTCTTCTTCTTGTGTCATTATTGAATTAAAACCACACTTCTTCTTGTTCTTCTGATTCTTCTTCTTGGCATTCATTGGCTGTAAATTTCAGTAGAATATGTTTTTTGTGTTTTTGTCATTTTCTTGATTCAATTGACTTTTATGTGTGTCTATTCTTTATTTCCCCAAACTGGACTGCCCTCCACATGAGGTGGGAGGGGGGGGGGGGGGGGGGGGGCAAAAAACTGTCTTCAAAACTGTCTTTTATCACCTTTATTATACCACTCTTTAGGGCGGGGTGGTGTAAGACAGGTAAGTTATTTTTTAGCCTGAGGACTTAGTAGTCACGTGGTTAGTGCTACAAGTGGTTAGTTTAGGAATTTAGTTGAGATCCTGACAGAAAAAAATCCTGTCATTGTTCTGCAGATTTGAACCCATATCTCATGAAAGTCTTATCATTCTAACCCCTTGATGACACTCCTATAAGCAAAAAAAAAGTAATTTTGTAAAGTTTTTTTTTTATTCAACTGGCCTTAAAAAAAAAAGTATTTCAGTATTTGCTTACCATTTGTTGTTAGATGTTTAAATATTGCTGCATTATATATAAAATGCATATTTCATACTAACACTATTTAACACAGCTTTCACCTGTAACTTGACACTCGTTTGGGTCCTAAATATGTGCAAAATTACATTAAACAAATTATACTATTAAATTTGTATCACACGCAATTAAAAACAGATACTGTTTATAAACTTTCCATTGGACACTGGCTGTAGAGTTTATGAATATTTCTGTGTAAAATTAATTTTAACTAAACAATTTAAGAGGGAGACTTGATTAAATGAAATATGCTGCTTCATTCCTATTGTAGTTATTATTATATGAGGGGAAGTCGTTAAGTAAAGGCAATTGCATTAGTAAGTTTTTTTTTATACAAGCTGCTGGAACAAAATTGTTTTGTGTCCTATTTCTCGATATAGTCTCCCTGTCTTGCAACACATGTAGTCCACTGATCCACAGGATTGTAGATGGCCGCCGAGTAGAATCTTTTGAGTTTGGCAAGTAACCAAGTTTGCACCACCGACATCACCTCACTGTCATCTGCAAATCTCTGATTCTGTAAATGTGTTTTTTCAATCGGCCAAACAGTAACAAATGAAAGTCTGATGGTGCTGTATCTGGGCTGTATGATGGATGTTTAAATGCGTCAAACTGCAGAGTCTGTTGAGTATTCACTGTGTGCACAGCCATATGGGAGAGATCCTTGTCCGGCAACAACAAAACTCCTTTTAAGACAAGACCCAGGTGTTTTGATCGGATCGAAGGCTTCACCTTGTTCAGCCATTGACATTGACATGGGCAACTGACATTCCGAAAGATGGTTAGCGTGACCTTCCCAGGTCAAGCCTGAGTCTTGAATTTTTTCGGTGCTGGTGATGCTGGGTGCTTCCACTGCATCGATTGTCTCTTACCCCCGTGTGGGTTCCGGGGGCCCCATTGTGGGGAAAACAAGAATAGACCCACTGCCTCCCCAAAAGCATGTCGTAAGAGTTGACTAATTGGGGAGCTTCCTTTCAAGTCGGAGTGCATCTGTCGGAGAGGCAAGGAACCAACAGTCTATTCAAGAGAATGAGATCTGTAAAACTGATGCACATGCAACACTCAGGTTCTGGAGCAGGACTGCAGTTCAGTAGTGGACGAGCAACCAAAACCTTCCACCAGAGTTTACAGCTGGTGAACGTGAAGAAGAAGAAGAAGAAGAAGATTGTCTCTTACTGTCTGGTTCATAATGGTGCATCCAGGACTCATCACATATCACATTTCAATGGAGAAAAACATCTCCTTCAGGGGCATGATGGTCCCAATGCTCCTGACAAATCCTCTTGCCTAGCATGCTTCTGTTCAACAGACAGCTGCCTTGGAACCCATCTGCTGCACACTTTCCTATACCCACAGTCATCATAAACAATTTTGTCTGCAGCACCTTGACTCTTGTGGAATTTTACAGCAATGTCATCAATGGGACTCGTTTTTGTCATGGATTCACTGCTGTATCTGCTGTTTTACTGTCTCAGCTGCCACGCTAACTGGTCTCCCATTTTGCTTTTTATCAGTGACATTATCCCTTCCAGTTTTAAATCTTCCCACCCATTCATACACTATCCTCTAACAAAAACTGTCTCCATATTGAACCTTCATTGATTTCAGACAGTTTAATATCCTTGCCCGCAAAAAAAACAAATAGCACCTTGTTGCTCTTCCATGTGCAGGTTAACAGTGCTGTGGCCATCTTGTACGAGCTGTTGCACATGCGCATAATGCCAAATAATCAGGGCACATACTTTGGGTATTGAAAAGGGGTCATTCTGGGTCTGTAAGTAATTTTGTTTTCCTGTATACTTCTTCTTGTTCTTCGCGTTCACCAGCTGTACACTCTGGCGGAAAGTTCTGGTTGCTCGTCCACTACTAAACTGCAGTCCTGCTCCAAAACCTGAGTGTTGTGTGTGCATCAGTTTTACAGATCTCATTCTCTTGAATACAGACTGTTGGTTCCTTGCCTCTCCGGCAGATGCACTCCGACTTCAAAGGAAGCTCCCCAATTAGTCAACTCTTACGACATGCTTTTGGGGAGGCAGTGGGTCTATTCTTGTTTTCCCCACAATGGGGCCCCGGAACCCACACACGGGGGTTCCTGTAAACTGTTCCATGATTGCTAGGATACTGTTGCCTTAACTTAATGACTTCACCTCCTCATTTTTTTCAAATGTGTTTTTGCTTTTGTACATGTATTTCTTTTTCACTCTCTGATTTCCCAGAAAGTTTATACATTGCACATGTTTACTTCTTCTTCTTCTTTTTTTTCTTTTTTTTTTTTAAACCAAGTATTAATTAAATGTTCATGTTGTATTTAACCTTTCATTTAGGCACATTTTGTATGTTTTCACAATTTAAAATCCATTTGTATAATTTTTGTCCCACCAATATTCTAGCGGATTTTAAGGACCAGATATCACCAGGTAAGCCTTGTGGATACTGTATGTCACCTTATAAAAAGTAGCATTTACTACTTGGGAATTTCATGTTGAGACTGCATTACTACACATATCACAGAGTCATTCATGTAACTCCTCATCTAATTATAAACAATTTCAAGAAAAGTAACATTTGTTAATTCCTAGTTTATTAAAATTCTGTTTTAAGACTTCAACTTTATGTAATTATTCATCTGTAAAATTACATATTTTAATTTTTCTTTACATAATTTTTTCAACTAATTTGTTGGATAAAAGATAATTGTAAATAAAAATGATCTTTTTTAGAGAATTTTATATTATAATTATAAATTAAAGTATGAGAGTCAGTCATTGAGCTTCTGTAGAAGATACTTTAATTGATTCACTACTCCAGTCTTACCCAATTTCTGTTCTGTTCTTAATTAAGTGGACATCACATGTGCATTATTTTATACAGTTCTTGAATAAGAGCATTCAAGTTTGCTGAAGTGTTGATGTCTATAGTACACAACAGTAATTAGTAGCATTTTACAGTCATTATTCTAATGGTTTCTTTTCTGATGTATCTAGGTTTGGGCACAATGAAGGGTAAGATGTTATGATCGCCCACAGCAATAGTATTGTGCTACCCTCTTCCTTATCATTTGCTAATGACAAGAATTATTTATTCTGTTTAGCGAGGCTTGTCTTTCCTTATAATCTGGAAGGTTAACTGTATTTGTTAATTTCATTTCTAAAGTGTGTGCTTTTTTTTCTTGTTTTACATTTAGTTTAAAATCTGCAGAAGATAATTATTTGATTGTTCTGTCAGAGAGTCTTGTCTCATATAGCTTATAGTTATATTGCCAGTTAGCTTGTAAAATGTGCAATAGATAATTATATGATTGTTCGGTCAAAGAGTCTTGTCTCACATAGTTTATAGTTATATTGCCTGTTAGCTCGTAAAACCTGCAGTAGATAATTATATGATTGTTCGGTCAAAGAGTCTTGTCTCACATAACTTATAGTTATATTGCCAGTTAGCTCGTAAAACCTGCAGTAGATAATTATTTGATTGTTCTGTCAAAGAGTCTTGTCTTAGATAACTTATAGTTATATTGCCAGTTAGCTTGTAAAACCTGCAGTAGGTAATTATTTGATTGTTCTGTCAAAGAGTCTTGTCTCAGATAACTTATAGTTGTATTGCCAGTTAGCTTGTCTACTTGTATTGGTCTGTTCATATAGCTCCCAGGGATGGCTTTATTACTAATGTTTGCTCCTGAGTTGACATAATTCTGCTGTTGAAAATAATAACATCACCTGCCTAGTTTAGTGTAACCAGAAAGCTTTGTGTGTTGTTTCTGTTGTCATGTAGCAGAGAAAAGACTAGAAGATATCTCTGCCATTACTGTCTGTTTTCAACACTATCACGATGGAGGCAAGAGAGGGTCTTGGAACCTGGTTAGTGCAGTTGCCACAGACTGTGCGGGTTAGGCAATTTATTTTTAGCCTAACAGAAAAACCCTCATAAGCTAACCGAGGATTTGAACCTAGATCACCTGCATGAGAGGCCAGCAGCGTTCAAAACAAATCACCTAGCTGCTGCTCTTTAAGATGTCTGATTTGCTATTATATGAGAGCAAGTCGTCATTGACTTTAACGTTGTCGTCTGCTCTTGCTGATTCAGCGAGTGTTGATGTGAATCTGGCTAGGTAATCCCATAGCAAGCAAAGCACTAATGCCAGCATACACAAACCACAAGAATATTACTTTCA